GCCTTTCTCTCAGTGGCCTGAAGACCAGCAGAAGACGAAAGTGCACTTAGATCCTGCCTGCCCCAGAAGGAACAGAACGTGACATGTCGATCCCAGTCCCTGGGTAGAACGAGATCTTGCTTTGTAGCGGGGATGTGAGCACACCGAACAGAACAGTCTTCCCTATGGCCTCATGGGGGCCAGTAGTCACAGTTACAGCATGTGAGAGCCAATCAGATCATGCTAAAATACACATAAATCTAGAAGGATTTAAGAAAATGGGCCAGTAAATAATGCTCTCCTCCAGGGAGCGAGCTGAGCTGGTTTTAATCAGGATAGCAGTGTTGCGGGACTCTCAGCCAAGCCCAGGCGAATGGCTGCCAAGGCAAATCAGGCATCAGGTTTCAGAAATTAAACACATAATTTTATTTTTCCGCAGTAGGGAACTCTCAGAAAAAGAACCAGATCTATTAGGCTACTCGGCACACTTTGTTCAGTTTCTTTCAGCCCCAAAGGCCTCCAATTTAAGAGCAAGATGAGCAACTGGAAGCCAGAAGTGACACAGTTATTCCTTTCTCCTATTGACTGCCCGGGGGTGGGGCTGGGAGGAGTGGGGCAGGGGTAATGGTAGTGTTTTTCAAAGGTCCAGTTGCTGACCACTAGCCAACAGTTTTTCCACGAATTTATAGGACAAAGACCTGAAGGGTTGGAAAAGAAAAAGTTGTAGAGGAAGAACTGGCCAAACAAAGATTGGCTGATAGTTTCTCATGAACCACAGTCAGCAAAGAAAGCGGCTGGTCTCAGGAAAAAGTCCCTCCCATCACCATGAGGAGGACCCACCTGGCAGGCAATTTCCCCCAAGGACCCCGGGCTTGTTGGTGATGCAGAAAATGGTTTTTACAATTCTCCAGTGAAAAAGGATTGCTAAACCCCAGGTTTAGCCCTATGCCAAGTATTGTTGTGGGTATCAAAAAGGTGTACAGTGAGTGTAAAAGTGCCGCTGGAGTGGCAGCGAGAGACCCAGAAGGGCTGGAAGCTTCGTGAGGAAGCGGAGCTTGAGCTGGATCTACAACTTGGACATAAATTCCCTCACCTTCCTTCTTTTCCACCTCAAAATATTCCTGTAACCATATTTCCTTTATTATTGCAAAATTTCTTGGTCTCTTTTCTCTGGTCACTCGGCGTACTCTCCTAAAGCAGTGGTGTCCACTCCCGTGAGGTTAGTGACATATCCCATATGCTGATGGTTCCCAAATTTCTCTCCAGTCTCAGTCCTGCCCATCAGGTCTTCTGAACAGCTCTCCTTAGATAACTCACACTCTTCTTTTCAACAATTATTTATGCAGTGTAATGGTTCTCGGATGCAGTCACACAGTGGAATCCTTGGGATGCTCTCAGAACTTGTGAGGCCCAGGTCATAGCCCAGAGCAATGAATCGGACCCTCTGGAGGTGCGAGTCAGGCTGCAGTTTTTAAAGTTGCCCAGTTTTCATTTCCATGTGAGCCAAGTTTGAGAATTCACTGATCTAGAAGGTATTGGGAACGGAAAGGAACTTCACTGCAAATCACGAAGTATGAAATCATTTTATTTTTATGTGGTAGTTAATTGGACAGAAACAAGAGAAAAACAGCAAAGTCAAAGCTTCCATTGAAAGGAAAAGAACACTAAATTGGGAACCCTGAGGCCTTAGTTTAAGACCTGATGGAACAATTTTTCATCTGTGTGAGGCAGGTCCTTTCATTCCTTCATGCCAGAATAGCCTTGAGTGTCAAACAGATATCCTCCCTACCTACTTCATAGGAGTTATTATGAAGATTATTTGAAAAACAAACATTATATAGGCTTGTATAGTTGTACACTTGGAGACAAATTTAAGGTAATGTTATTTCATATTTTAAGTTTTATTTTTTAAATCTGTATTTTGAGCCCTGGCTGGCGTAGCTCAGTAGATTGAGCCTGGGCTGTGAACCAAAGTGTCGCAGGTTCGATTCCCAGTCAGGCCACATGCTTGGGTTGCAGGCCATGACCACAGCAACCACACATTGATGTTTCTCTCTCCCTCTCTCTCTCCCTCTCTCTCTCTCTCTCTCTCCCCCCCTCACTTCCCTCTCTAAAAAATAAATAAATAAAATCTTTAAAAAAATCTGTATTTTGAAATAAGTTTAGATTTATAAAAGAGCTGCACGTAGTAGAGACTTCCTGTATACCTTTCAGCCATCTTCCGCAAATGCTGAGGAAGTGCAACTGCCCAAACTAAGAACTAAGATTAAGAAAACACTGCCCTAGCTGGTATGGCTCACTTGGTTGGGGTCAATTCCCGGTCAGGGTACGTGCCTGGGTTTCGGGTTCTGTCCCCAGTCGGGGCGCATGCAGGAGGAAAATGATCGGTGTTTCTCTCCCTGTCTTTCTCCTTCCCTTCCCCTCTCTCTAGAAAGGATTCTTTTAAAGGATTTATAAAATGCTATTCACTAACCTGTGGACCGTATTCTAATTTTATTATCCCACTGGTGCACTGTGCCCTTTTTCTGGACCAGGACTTAATCCGGGATCAGGCATCACATTTAGTCGCCATGTCTCTTCAGTCCCCTCCAGTCTGGGACTGTCCCTCCCCTTTTCTTTCTTTCATGACCTTAACATTTTTTAAAGGAACTGGCCAATTCATCTGTAGATTTCCCAATTTTTGGACTTGTCTAATGCTTCCTCATGGTTTAATTACGTTTATACTTTTCTTAAAAAGAATACTACAGATGCGATTTTGTGCCCTTCTCACTGCATCGTATTGAGAGGTGAGCAGTCCCAGACCCACACCAGGCCCCCCAGCCCGAGGTTCCACTGCCAGGAAGATAAGTCTCCATAACTTCTGGCTGCAAAAGCCAGCAGGGATTGAGTTGGAAGAAACTTCTGGAGTCCCATGCAGTTCCTCTTAAAGAATCCACAAACATTCTTACTGAGACTCACTTCTGAGCTCCAGTATCAGGGTAGCAGCTTGAAAGGCACCAGTGGCATACAGGGGGGAACTGAGGTGTCTGGCATCAAGGTGAGAGCTGGGGAACAGCTCTCTCCCAGACAGAAAGGTGGGCAGAGGCTATTGTCCCTTTTCTGAACCCTCCCCCTGCAGAACCACAGAGCCAGCAGACCAGTGCCATACCTGAGATGCCATCAACCTGGCTAACACTGTTTGCCCCACCCTAGAGATTCCCCCAAGACTCTGTCCCACCCACCTTACAGGCCCACTCAAGCTGCTTCCCCATATGAATGGCTGGTCTTGGCTCATGCATCACAACTTCCTAAATCCTCTCAAACAAGCAACAGCCAGCCTCAGTGAGTCCCCAGCCCCTGCCCCTCTTGCTAACTGGCTCCAGCCCCAGCACTAGCAGCAGCAAGTCTAGATTCGCAGCTTGGCTTGGCTTGGGAATCTCCAAGCCCAGCACAAGTAGCAGCCATCTCAGATAGCTTTTATAGCTCAGGCAGCTGGCCCCGGGCAGAACACAGGAGGGGGCTGACCTTGTCCTGCGCTTTTCAGGAAACCCCAGAGGCTGGCATTCAGTGGCCAGATACAGAGCGTGTCAGCACACCACCACCCTGCCCCTGCACAGCTGATCCTCCAGGGAGGGCAGAGGTTGGTGGTCAGTGGCCACAGCCAGTACAGCATAGGAAATGGAATAGCCAAAGAGCCTATACGAATGACCCATGGATATGAACAAAAGGGTCGGGATTACCTGAGGCAGTAGGGGTTGCTGGGTGGAGGGGGGCACAGCGGGGAAAATCAGGACAACTGTAATAGCATAATCAATAAAATATAATTAAAAGAAGAAATAGAGTCAGGTGTAAATAAAGCAAGAATAAATGCAGCCCATAAGCAGGTGTTTGGGGGCATTGGTAGGTGTGAGGGATCCGTATGAAGGAGTTCCAGGTTGGCTTCAAATCCTGAAGAGAGACGTGAGGACGGTGCAATCTCTGGATAAGGTCTTCAAGAAGATACCAGTGGCCCCTCCATGTTTCCCAGGAAACCTGTCTCCTGACAGCGCCGCCTTGGAAACTTCCGGGCTGGAGGTGTACCACCTTGACCCCTGAGCACTGGCTGTTGGCACCCAATGTCAGACGCTTTTTAAGCAGCTCAGGTGACCGGACCTGCAGGGCGAGTGGCTAGTGCGCACGCGCCGGAGGAGGCGCGGGGCGGGGCCACGCGCCGGGGGCGGGGCCGTGGCGCGCAGGCGTCCTGGTGGAGGGTGCCTGCGGCTCCGGATGGAGGGTGAGTGAGTAAACAAGCCCGGGCCGGGCGGTGGGGCCGGGCCTGGGCACCTCGCCACCCTAGGCCTAGGAGGGAGAGGCGAAGGGGTCAGGGAATTGGGAGCGAACGGAAGGGCACGCTTCCTGTCTACGAGGAGTAGTGGGGCGCCCACTCCCAGTTCCGAGGGCTGGGGGAAGGGGGCGACGGGGCGAGTGAACCCCCGGCCGGGACGGCGTCTGAGGCGGAGAGGGCGGTGTGTCCGGGAGGTGGGGCGGCGGGGGCGGGTCTGGAGACAGGGAATCCCGTTGGAGGGCGGGGTGGGTGGGTGGGTGGGTAGGCGGGAGCCCCAGAGTAGTGAGGGCGTGGGTGGGCGGGGGTACCTGCGGAGGCCCTTAGCGAGGTGGATTCCCACGGACCTGGGGCTGTGTACCGGGAGGACCAGACACCGGGGCTCACTTTGGGGGTGTTGAGGAAGGGGTGGCAGTAAAAACCAGGCCCGGGGCTGGGTGGGGTGAGGCGAGTGACGTCCTACATTGGAAAATATATTGGGGCTCGCACGGAGTGGAGTCGGTGCAGACGCCTCCCTAGGTTTGGGGTGCTGGGCGCCTCTCGCCAAGTTTGGTCTCCCACCTATTCTTGCCCACGCCGGAATTCTCCTGGAGATCAAACAGTCGAAGGGAAAGAACCTTAAAGACAAATAGCAAGGCGTTGTGTTTGGGACGGGCATGTTAGAAAATGTGGGACAAACTTATTTCGGTCAAAAGTAACTACTGATAAATTGTTTCGTGGGCGGCGAGAGGGAAGGAATGTGGAAGGGTGTTAGTGCAGCGGGTCGGATATTGAGGGCGGGCTTTCGTAGGTGAACTGCAAGGATGTGAATGGATAGCCTAGGTGTGGGTCCTGGCGCTAGAGGGGTGAGGGTAAGGAAAGCAGCCGAGGTGAAAGGTGTCCTTCGTGCGTGTGAGGATCGCATTAAGAATGTGGTCTGTTTCTCCACGTTTGCTGCGATGAAGTCTTTGAAGAGAAAAATCTCCCACCCCGGTGCTTTTAAGTTTAGGAAACTGGCATTGAATGAAGTTTCCAGCCTCAGAAGTTGCTGTCGGAGGTTCTGTGAGAGCTTGTCTATTTTAAGCCTTGGAATCCCCAGGGCTGGGATGGTTTGGCGTTGATAAAAGAGATTACTCACTTACATAGAAGAAAGTGTGAGTTTGGAGATAAGTACGGATTTATAACCGCAATTACAATAGAGGCAAGGACTGTCTACAAAAATGTCATAATATTATTGTCAAGGTTTATGTTGAGTGTGTGTATCGCAGTGTGAATTAACTCTCCCAGAGCAGGGATGTTCACTTGTTTGATTTTTATCCTCACCCAAGGACTTTTTTCATTGCTTTTATAGAGAGAGGGAGAGACAGAAACAACGATCGGTTGCCTCTTGTAAGCACCTGGACCAGAGATTGAACTGAAACCTAGGTACGTTCTTTGAACCGGGAATCCAACAGCCAACCCTTCATTATTGGACTTTGCTGCACCCAAGTGAACCACATTGGCCAGGGCCTCTTTGTCTGTCTTGTTCACTGATGTTCCCTAAGCACCTAAAACAGTGCCAGACACACAGTTGGTGCTCAGTGCATATTTGTGGGATACATGAAATTGCAGGCAGGTCTCTGGGTCTGGCAGTCGGAGATCTGGATCCTAATTCTGCTCCTGACTGGCAGAGTCCTTGTAGTCCAATCATGGAACTTGATGCCAAGATACAGCTTTAAAACCCTGAGGTTGACATGATTTCATTATGGTGTTATTTGAATTCTCTTAGAAACAGCACTAGAATAAGGAGCCTAGGATTAAAACAATGAAATTTTACTACCAAGACCACTTTTATGAGAAGGTAAAAGGTGAGAAAATGTAGTTGGACTTGTTTCTCTTATCTTACTTGTCTTTTAAAAAAAACTATTTAAAGTATTGATTTTGTGTGTTTAATTTTTGATATCTGAAATCTAGCTTCCTTAGTTTTCTGAGAAACAGTTCCTGCCCTTAATTCATGCTTTATGTGAAGCATGTAACAATTCATGTCCTTAAGTAGTATATCTTTTTCCTGTTTTAGAATAAGTGTTAATAGTTTCTACTTTGGTCCCCACTGGTGTGGCTCAGTTGGTTGGGCATCATCCTCCAGAGTGAAAGGTAGCCGGTTCAGGTCAGGGCACGTGCCTGGGTTTCAGATTTGGTCCCTGGTGGGGGCACGTAAGAGAGGCAGTCAGTCCATGTTTCTCTCTCACATTGATGTTTCTTTCACAGTTTTTCTCCCTCCCTTTCCCACTCTCTATAAAATAAATAAATCAATAATTTAAAAAAAGATTTTATTTATTTATTGTTAGAGAGGGAAGGGAGAGAGAGAGAGAGAAAGATACATCAATGTGCGGTTGCTGGGGACTGTGGCCTGCAACCCAAGCATGTGCCCTGACTGGGAATCGAACCTGCGATGCTTTGGTTCACAGCCCACGCTCATTCCACTGAGCTACACCAGCGAGGAATAAATAAATTTTTAAAATAAAAGTTTCTACTTTGTTAACTGGCAACTTACCAAAAAAAAGTTTGAGGCAGCAACACTAAAAACACATTACATTTCTACATAGAGTAGGTAGTTTAAATTAAAAGAGAAAAAAAGGCATGTGGAGAAAGGTGAAGAGAATTAATACCAGTTAGATTAGGATCGAGGGGGAGGATTTAAAAAGGGAAAACTCCCCTGGCTGGCAGAGCTCAGTAGATTGAGCGTGGGCTGCAAACCAAAGCATCGCAGGTTCAACTCCCAGCCAGGGCACATGCCTGGGTTGCAGGCCACGGCCCCCAGCAACCCCACATTGATGTTTCTCTCTCTCTTTCTCCCTCCCTTCCCTCTCTAAAAATAAATAAATAAATAAATCTTTTTTTAAAAAAGGGGGAAAACTGCTCTTAGGGAATACCTCCGTTCTAGAAAGTCCCAGCTTTTTTTTTTTTTTCTTTTTAAATTTGTTCAAATTGTGTTTTGGGCTATTTCCTGTCTCTAGTCCATCAGCCCATCAGTTGAGACTTGTGTGCTCCAAAATGTAAAGTGGAGAATTACTTAATGGATAGTTCGAGTTAGTGCTTCTGGTGTGTTGTGTTCTCTGACTTGCCCTAATTGATTCAAAATGGAATAACTAAAAAGCCTTGTTTTTATTGAATGATAATGAGCAGACACTAAATATTAAACTTTGTGCTAGTATAGTACAGAAGCAGCCAAGAGAGCTCTTAGGAGATTGCTGTAACTATTCTAAGTCATTGTTGCGTATCCTAAGAGCCAGTGTTTTCCTTTGGGTCTCACAAAAAATCGATCCTGCTTTGATTTTTATCACCATTGTCTCCAGTGCAAATGATCTTATTCTTTTAATGAAGGAGCACTAGAAAATATTAGTGCTATAATTTTATTTTAAATAGAATTCAGGATCACAGCTTCCTGTTAGGTTTTTTTTTTCCCTTTTGTTTTTTTCAAGATTTTATTTACTTATTTTTAGAGAGAGGGGAAGGGAGGGAGAAAGAAAGGAGAAAAACACTGATGTGTGAGAGATACATGCCTCTTGTATGCCCCCTGCTGGGGACCTGTCCTGCAACTCAGACGTGTGCCCTGACTGGGAATCGAACCTGAGACCTTTCGGTTCTCAGGCCAGCACTTAATCCACTGAGCAACACTAGCCAGGGCAGGTGTTTTTTTCTAACTTTGTAGTGCCCAGAACTTCAAACCAATAACAAATGTAAATATCTAGGAGAAGTGGGAAAGTATAAGTTAAAGATGTGTTTAATAGAGCCTTCTTGAAGGATCTATAATATATCTGGCTGTAGAGTTGACTTTAACAGAAATGTTGATGAAATTGGTGATTGCCACACTGACTCAGTTGTGCATTACTAAAGCTGTTTGCAGAGGTAGGTTCATCCCTGCTGTTTATGTTTCATCTCTACCCACAACTGAAAAAGAAAGAATGAGGTGGAAAATTTAAAAGTCTACAGTGCCATCCACCCAGGCATTACTTAGCCTGCTGTTTAATAACATTATTATAAAACAGAAAGTAAGACAAGCTTCTGCAAAGGGATGCTTTTATGTGGATAAAAGAATTTCATAGTTTGGAATTTTTACATTCTGATCTCAATCTCTCTAAGATTAAGAATATTGTTCCTAGCCCTGGCTGGTGTGGCTCAGTGGATTGAGTGCCAGCCTGTGAACCAAAAGGTTCGATTCCCAGTCAGGGCACACGCCTGGGTTGTGGACCAGGTCCCCAGCTAGAGGCATGTGAGAGGCAACTGATCAATGTATCTCTCGCATATCAATGTTTTTCTCCCTGTCTTTCTCTCTTCCTTCCCCCTTCTCTAAAAATAAAAATAAATAAATAAATAAATAAATAAGTAATAAGTAAATCCATTTGAAAATAAAATCAGACTGTTGTTCCTAAAATCTTTTATCTCCAAACATTTCCAAACTGTTTTTCCACTTCTAACTAGTGGCAAACTACATTCTGGTTTAAGCCTTTGAAACAAATTGAGATCCAGTTTTCTAGGGAAAGATTTCCAAGTTTTTATAGCTTTCTTTTCCTGTAGAGATTTGAATTGTAAATAAGGCAGTTATTATTTCTAATTATCAAAAATTTTTAATTTTTTCAAATATTTTATTTATTTTTAATATATATAGGTTTGGAGAGGGGAAGGGAAGGAGAAAGAGAAGGAGAGAAACATCAATATGTGGTTGCCTCTTGTGCACCCCCTACTCCGGACCTGGCCCGCAACCCAGGCATGTGCCCTGACTGGGAATCGAACCAGCAACCTTTTGGTTTACAGGCTGGCACTCAATCCACTGAGCCATACCAGCCAGGGCAAGACTTATTCTTTTCTTTAACCTGCTTTATTGAGGTAAAAATTTACATGTAATAAATGAATCACATAATATATATAGTTTGGCAAGTTTTCATAAAAGTACGTAGTCAAATAACCATCATCACACCAAAGGTATAGAACATTTTTATCATTCCCAAAAAGTGCCTTTACACTTCTTTCCTTTTAATTGCTTTCCCCAACCCCAGCCCCTAACGACCCCTCATCTACTTTCTGTCCGTGTACATTTGCCCTTTCTAGAACTTTTGTAGTAGAATGTCATGTAAGTGGAATCATGTAGTGTGTCATTTTTTGTGTCTGATTTCTTTCACTTAGCACAGTGCTTTTGAAATGTGTTGTGCATGTGTAGGAGCTGTCCGTTCCTTTTTATTGCTGAGTGGTGTTCCATTGTGTGTATATACTGCACTTCGTGTGCATTTGCAGATCCCTCAATATCTGTCTTGTTTGCTCTTGTCTGGCTCTTAATGAAAAAAGATGCTGTGAGCATTTGTGTACAGGTCTCTGTGGGGACATATGTCTTCATTTCTCTTGGTAAATTAGAAATTGTATGTCAGGTTATATGGTAAGTATGTATTTAACTTTATTTATTTATTTATTTATACTTGGCCAGCTGCTTTCCAAAGTGGCTATACACTTTGCAATTCTACCTCTGCTGTATGAGGATTCCAGTTTGTTCTATATCCTCACCACCAATTGATAATAACAACTTTTTTAAGCTTTAGCCATTTTAGCGGGTTGTAAGAGTACATCCCTATGGTTTTGATTTGCATTTCCCTAATGATTAATAGTACTGGGCATCTTTTTGTGCACATTTTTGTCATTTCTATATATTTTTTGGTGAAGTACCTGTTTAGATTTTTTTTTTTTTGCTATTGGGTTTGTTTTATTGTGTTTTGGTGTTATTTATATAGACTTATTTTAAAATTTCTTGACCAAAACATGTTTTGGAGGGTTTTTTTTTTTTCAAGATTTTATTATTTTTAGAGAGGGGGTGTGAGGAAGAAAGAGAAACATTGATTGGTTGCCCCTTTCACATACCCGGACTGGGATCGATCCCACAACCCAGGCATGTGCCCTGACCAGAAAGCAAACCAGTGACCTTTTGTTTTGCAGGGTGATACCCTAACAACTGAGCCACACTGGTCAGGGCACAGGTTTTGGAGTTTAGCTTCAGTGCAAATGTGAACTAAGTGAACATAAAGCAAAGCTCTAAAGTAATAGCTTAGCGCTTAACTGAAACATAGATGCTGTTTTGCATGTCTGAGAACTAAAGAAAAAATCTAATAGAAATATAAATGTTTTTTAAAAGATTTTATTTATTTATTTCCAGAGAGGGAAGGGAGGAAGAAAGAGAGCGAGAGAGAAACATCAGTGTGCGGTTGCTGGGGGCCGTGGCCTGCAACCCAGGCATGTGCCCTGACTGGGAATTGAACCTGCAATGCTTTGGTTAGCAGCAGGTTAGCTTTGGTCAATCCACTGAGCTACGCTAGCCAGGGTGAAATATAAATACTTTTTATGTGCCATTCCCATTGCTCAAAAGGAGTGAACCCATTTCTCCAAATCTGCTGTAGTGAATGCTAAGTGTTTTGTTTGCTTGATTAAGAAAAAAAATCTTTGAAGCCATAGTGGTTGGTTAGTGTCAGATGCTATGAGAACCAATCTTATGGCTGTTTATTTTAATCATAATCTGTTCCAAATAGTATGTCTCATCTTCCTTATATACTCTGTGGGGATTGGCTAACTGCCAAATAAACTTTTAGAGACAGTGAAGACCCATTAAAAGGCAAAGCAAAATAAATAATGCCTCATTGGTCACATGAAAGTCAAGTATCATTTTTATTTTTAAAGGAGGAAATGTGGCTTGTTTTATAGCATGATTGATTAAAACAATGGCATTTTCATGTATATGGGTATTCTTCTCTGGCTAAGTAAAGTTCTTGAGTAAACTTGGGAGTACTATTAATTACTGGACTATTTTGGTGTATTTACTGTCGACTCAACTCTTGGCAAACTATGGGAGATCACATTTCAGTTATAACCCCTTTAATAAAAATACTGATATTTTTCTGTGGCCATCTACTCTAAGAAATCTACACACACACACACACACACACACACACACACACACCCTAGCAGCTATGGATTATGTTTTTTTCTATTACTTGATCTCCAGTTTTAAATGGATGCAGCAAACTGTGCTAAGCTTACTGTATCAAAAAGGGAAATGAGTTCCAAAAAGAATGGGAAGGGATTGCAATTAAAACCCATTTTTTGAGGAGTTTATGAAGATTCACTGAGTCGTGAATCTGTAACATTTGGGCCATTTGCCCAACATCTCAATGAGGGTGACTTCAGGTTTCTCAAGGAGGTTGTGTCCTACATTTGAACCGTTTTCATTTCCGGCAGTAGACTAGTAATCTTGTCCTATAGAAATTATATGAACAACTACTTAATACTAGTGGGAGTGTGGTGTATGTTCATAAATAGTTTTATCTGTCAGAGAGTCCCTCTTTTGACCCCATTCCATAGAAGAATGAGAAATATTTAAAAGATAGGAGGAAGAGAGGTGGTGCAATTTGCAGGGGAGAAATTCAGGTCAGCTTAATTTTTTTTAAATAATCCAGCATCTTAACACTCTGGGATTTAAATTCCTAGATTATGCTATTTTTTCCTTCTTCCAGAGAGAGAATATTTAACTCACAGGGGATTCTGTTTTTAAGAACTTGAATCACTTAAGTTTACAGTAAACAGTGGGTCTGTCTTGCATTTTTACTATTCCGTCCTTCCTTTATTTACCCTCTGAATTTCTAATAGCACCATGCTGGTGTGTTTGGTTCATCAAGTGAAACCAAGTCCCCGTGCGTGAGTTGTAACAATCACGACTGGGCTGTGGCGTGTGTGTGACAGTGGGTTCAGTTTTGCTGCTTTCCTGTCTGTGCTGTCCATTCTCGTGGGAAAAAGCAGGTAATGTTAAAATGATTCTTTAGGAGAAATAATAGTACACTCAAAAAAGAAAATATCTTTAAAGAAATTTTAAAAAACAAAGTCTGAAACTTCAGTTTCTGTTTCAAATTTTGGCTCTTCCTAGCTCCTTGGAGTGTTTTCAGAAACTTAAAATCTTAGGTTAAGTGAACTGAACTAGTTCTCTCGGAAACCTAAATGGCAAACATAGAGTAAAAACATAACCCCATAGGTTTTGTTGAATTTTTAAATGTACGTAACATTTGCTCTCTCTCTGAAATAATTGATGGGGCTGCAGGCTGCGCCTAGAAATTGGTTCAGAAAAGCAGAATAGCAAACTTAGTGATCGTGGGACTACATTTGCACCCGTGACTGGAAGGAGAGAATTTAGTGAGAGAGAGGACCCTCCCAACGGCATCTAGTGTTGCTGGACGCAGCCTGACTTGCGTGACGGGACAGTGGGATCAGAGACCTCCAGCTCTTCATGGTTACGGGGGAGCACCCTACTGAGGGTATCGGGGTCTGAATGTCCTTCACCGACTTCAGAACCACTGCCTGTTCTCTTCTGAAAACCTGAACATTTGTTTTGCCTTCGTGTCTTACTGTTCCTCCGAAGAACAGAAGGCACGTTAGAAAATCCAGCCCTTCCCCTTGCATTCCACGAGGTAGGCAGTGTGTGTTATATGTAAGTACTTCTTTAACAATGTGACTCTTAACTCAAACACAAAGTTGTTTGCAGTGTTACGTATTTCCACACGTCTTGCGCTTGACTTGGAGATGAATTTGGGCTGGTGTCATAGCCTCCCTTTGTTGCTAAGGGTGTGGTGCAGTCAGGCAGGCAGGTACGGTTTTGCGGTGTGGGTCCTTCCGTGAACCCCGTCGACACTGACTTCATTCTTGCGGAGCATTTCTCTCAACCCCAGTAGTGAGTGGTCTTCAAAATTTCCAAGGAGTCCAAGCTCCTCAGTATCTGTGAGAGAACTTCTTGGCTGCTAAATTTAAAACAAGTCACAAGAAGACAAAGGGTAAGCTTTTTGGTAATGAGACCAGGAATTGCTGATGTGAAATCTTTTCATTGACACTTTCTGTTGAACTCCGAGATCTGGGTTCCTCAAATGTCTGTCTGTATGAATAAATGTAGCGGGCATGAAAGTGGAACTGACCGTGTTTGAATTTGAGGAATGCTTCGTTTCGAGGCAGTAAAATGCTATTTCTCATCCCTGTCTCTGTTAGATTACAGCAAAATGGATATACCAAATCCTCCCACTTCTAAATGTATCACTTACTGGAAAAGAAAGGTTAAGTCCGAATACATGAGACTTCGACAACTGAAACGGCTTCAGGCAAACATGGGCGCGAAGGTAAAGAATAATTCCCGAGTGAAAGGCTCTGTGTTTTAATACATTGGTCCTGTGTGGAGGGGTTGAATTTTTTTTTTTTATTCTTCTCTTAAAACCCTAACAACTTTTTCCTTGGCTTTGCTAGGCTCTGTATGTAGCAAATTTTGCAAAGGTTCAGGAAAAAACCCAGATTCTCAATGAAGAATGGAAGAAGCTTCGTGTCCAGCCTGTCCAGTTGATGAAGCCTGTGAGTGGGCATCCTTTTCTCAAAAAGGTACTTCTGGGGGTCTGAGCTCCGCCTTCCTCTCCTCCTTGTATTTGTGGTTAGAAAATAAGTAAGGATAATGGATACAGCTATTACAGTCAATTTTGAATAATGAGGATGGCAAATCTGCAGCTCAAAGCAGAAACTTTATGCCTATTGTTCTCATTTAATGAGCATAATCATGGATTTTTCATGGAAAACAAAACATTTGGCTGTGGCTGGTGTGGCTCAGTGGATTGAGCACCGCTGGCCTGTGACCAATCAAAGGGTTGCCAGTTCGATTCCCTGTCAAGACACATGCCTGGGTTGCAGGCCAGGTCCCTAGTTGGGGGCATGGGAGAGGCAACCAATCGATGTTTCTCTGCCACATCGATGTTTCCCTCCTGCTCTTTCTCTTTCCCTTCTCCTCTCTCTGAAAATGAATAAGTATAATCTAAATAAATAAATAAAGTTTCCTCTCCACCTATTCCTATTTAGGAAAAAAAAAGAAAAGAAAAACAAGACATTTGCTATCTACTTTCCTGGGTTCTATGTCCAGGCTTAAAGCATCCTCTTTTTGTGCCTTGGTAGGCACCTTCCGCATGGTGACACTGGAAAAGCGGTGCCCTGGACAATGGACAGGAGTGTACCAATCAGACTTGTAAATTGACAAGTTTGCTAGTTTTGTAAAGAGATACTATTTTTAAAATACAAAAAGCAGACAGGGTGTTGAGAGTAATTTTGTTTCTCAAAGCAGGATGCGACTATAATTTATTTTGCTTCCCCCTGCACTGTCCGCATCACCTGTGCAGCTAAGTTGGTGTCTGCTGTCTTAAAGTTTAGGTCTTCAGGAAAACTTCCTCGTCTGCCTTCTCATCTCTTAGGACTTTCAGAGGCCCTTTGCTATTGTTCGCAGCCCAGGGAGACCGGCAGTTTTAGGTCGAAATAAGCAGCAAGTGTGGGATTTGAGTAAACGTCACTGAGTGTGGGAGGCACTGGACTGGGTCGGTAGAGGATAAAAAGGGGAAGAAGAGAGCATCCTGCTTCCCACAGGGGTACAGTGCAGTGCTTCATTTTAGCAGCTGACTGCTACGAAACACGCAGCTTATGTGAAAAAGTTAGAAGGCTACTGGGATCATTTTGGAAGGAAACTCCGATTCTCTCTTGGGCTGCGTGCTTGCCTTTCCCCTCTCCATGTCGTCGTTTACATTTCAGTGTACCATAGAGAGCATTTTCCCGGGATTTGCAAGCCAGCACATGTTAATGAGGTCTCTGAACACAGTTGCCTTGGTTCCCATCATGTATTCCTGGTCCCCTCTCCAGCAGAACTTTATGGTATGTATTGAAAGCACTGGTAATTGTTTAAACTCTTATGATTTTTTATGTTGACATGCTGGCACTCCTCTTAAGGTAAATATTGCCAGAGTATACTTAACAAAGCTCAGACATGCAGCTTTGTAACTTGTGTACACAATGCTTTTGTAACTTGTGTACTCTAAAAAGTAGACTGCAAGTTGTTCTGACTTGTTAGATGTGCTCTCTGAAGTTTTCTTCTGCATCAGTGCTGGTTCTTTTTTGAATGAGTGAGACTGGGCAAGACTCCAGTTTTTCCTTACTACACTGGCCCAATTTTGTAACATTCTGTGCAGTTAAATGCAGTCTAAATCAAACACTTGAAGCTTAAGCAGGTTGGCAGCTCCCTGCTGATGGCTTAGTCCTTTCTGAATCCCCTAAAGGCAAGATGCTGTGACAGCAACTGAGCGAAATGAGGTGCACAAGGGACCCACAGTCCTTTCGTCTGGGCCTTTGTGCCGACCCCTGCCGGGGTCGTTCATGGTCCTGATAAGCAGGCCTCTCCTCATACTGCCATTGCTTATCATCTGCCTGGTGACAGAGCACATTTCTGGCTAGAATAGGATACAGGTTTACACAAGGGAATACTCTCTTAAAATAAAGGTTCAGAGTAACTTTACCTTGATACTTGAGGATTTAAGAATGACTGTGTTCTCTGCCGAACCAAAAAATGAAAAAATCCACTAGTATTGCTTATTGCCAGAAAATAGTTATAGTTCATTGATTTTACTGAGATTGATTTTACATTCCCACTAAGTGTGTATTTTCATTTTTAGTTGATTTTCAAGGGGATGGTGGGGGAGGTAGAGAGAAAGAAGGGGGAGAGACATGGATCTGTTGCTCCACTTACTGATGCGCTCAGTGGTTGCTTCTTGCGTGTGCCCTGACTGGGGACAGACCCGCAACCTCGGCGCATCAGGACAACGCCCTAACCAACTGAGCTACCTGGCCAGGGCAAATGGCCAGTTTTTAAAATGCGGGCAGCTGTGACCACAGTCATTTTTAGGAGATTGAAGCAGCAAATAAAGCTCAGCGAAGATTTAGTTAAACAGAAAAGAGGAGATGCATAGTGGATTCATGGAAGGAATCACATCTGGTTTGATTTCAGGTAGAAGATGAAACAGTTTTGTGCAATATTCCCTACATGGGGGATGAGGTGAAGGAAGAAGATGAGACGTTCATTGAAGAGCTGATCAATAACTACGATGGGAAAGTCCATGGTGAAGAAGGTAGTGGTGCTGGGCCCTTTGGGAGAAGACTTTGTCAGGATGGTGCCTCTTCTCCGGCCCGTCATCACCTTCCTTTTATCTGCGGCCTCGCAGTGCGCACCCAAAGGGCGTTTCAGTGCAGTCGCCTGGCTGGGAATGGGAATCTTATATTAAAAATATTCCAGTTAAATTTTAAAAGGACAGAAAAGGATCATATGGGGGGTGGGCTGGGATGGGAGTAAAAGACAGAAAACCGTACTTGAACAACAATAAAATGAAATGAAATGAAATATAAAATAAAATAAAATATATAATAAAATAATAATAAAGAGAAAAGAAAAGGATCATATAGTAATCGGTGACAGGAGAGAAAGTTCCGTGTACAATTGGTTTGATTTTAGAAATTTTCTATAAATCCCTCCCAGGCCACTGATTCTTCATTTTCCGTTCTCTGAGAATGGCAGTGAGCCGAACTCTGTCCTTGACTCTGATCCCCATGTCCCCTCGGTCGACTTTCCCAGGAGACAGTCATTAGGATTTAGTGGTTCTGGAAAAGGCTGTCAGTGTGCAAGAGGTGGGGAGATGGGGGGAGACTCTCCCGTGGATTTGCAAACCAGTAGCCTGCTCTTTTGACAGCTGTGCGTGCTGTTATGATGTTGAAGTGCATTTGCCCACTCCGCCCCCTAGTGTTCAAAGACTTTCTCTTAAGGTGTAGTGTAACCCCATATAATAGGATTTTAGATAAAAATGCTGTCTCTTTCAAAGAAGTCACTACTGGCCAATTAACAGCAAAACCAAGTACATTTTCATTGTATCATTCTTTTTCTGTCCCATTTATATTATTTGCACATTTCTCTGAGGTTTTGGACCATAAACACAGTTTGACCTGTGACTATAGAAGTGAACTAACCCAGTAAGAATAAAGCCTGTAACTCGATTTCCCACTTCAGTCAGCCGAACTGTTGGAGTTGTGTGAGCCCATCAAATTCTTGTAATCCCCTGGCGGTCCGTGTAAACGTGTACACGCGTCCCCCAGCCGGGCCTCAGGAGCGAGTACAAGAGGACCCTCGAGGAGGAGGACTGGTGGCAGATGAAACAGCCGCTGCTCCTCCATGTCATCCTTATGTTTCAGAGATGATCCCTGGGTCTGTGCTCATTAGTGATGCTGTTTTTCTGGAGTTGGTCGATGCCCTGAATCAATACTCAGATGAGGAGGAAGAAGGGCACAATGACACCTCCGATGGAAAGCAAGATGACGGCAAAGAAGATCTGCCGGTGACGAGGAAGAGGAAACGGCACGCTATCGAAGGTAAGCAGCACTGCCTCCTCGTTCCCCTTCGGAGTGACTGGGGGAGGGGTGCGGAGAACACAGAGGTGTCCTCCTGGCCTTGGGTCGCTGACAATGAGGAGAGTGATCGCTGACTGGTAGCTCAACGTGACAGCCATGACCTAGGTGACAGCCGTGACCTAGCTGAGAAGAAGGAGAGCTTAGAGTATGATCATTTTCACCTCTAATTATAAAAGTATATTTGGAAAACATGAAAAGTTATAAAGAACAAAATAGAATTACCTTGTAATCCTGCTCCCTAGGAATAACCAGCATTAAGATTTCCTTCTAGACCTAAAAAAATGTAAAATCTATGTATATAACACTATTCCACTGTTATGTGTCAAATATATGTTACTTTTAAGTACATATATGTCAACCTGTTTGTGTTACATGAAACTGGGATTGTGCCATGTGTGCATGCACACATATGTGATTCTATTTCCCTTTTTTATGTAACCTTATGAGCATTTTTCCATGTTGTTAATATTTAATTATTTCATGTTTAATTATACACTATGTTATTGAATTATACTATATGTCCAGGGACATAGTGTCTCTTTTGTTAAAACAAAGTTATAATGCAATATCAGTCTTTTTTAAAAAAATATTTTATTTATTTATTTTTAGAGATGGGGAAAAGGAGGGAGAAAGAGAGGGAGAGGAACACCGATGTGTGAGAGATGCATCCATCGGTTGCCTGTCACACGCCTCCAGCTGGGGACCTGGCTTGCAACCCAGGCGTGTGCCCTGACAGGGAATTTAACCAGTGACCTTTCGGTTCACAGGCCGGCACTCTATCCACTGAGCCACAAGAGCTAGGGCCAGTCTCGATTTTTCAGCATCAGCATTGTGATGGAATTCTTGTATATTCAGGTCTCCATAAAAACTCTGGTTTTCATCCCCAGTGTCTCTCTTAGGCAGTGAATTTTGTCGTTAATGTACAGACGACTCTGATTTCCTTACTTACTGGTAGCCTATTAGATAAGGCCAGGTAGCCTTGACCTTCTTTAAAGGCTATTTCTAAATAGCCAATGGTTAGATTTACAAACCAGTTCTAATTAAAGTGCTGTGACAAAAGGAAAAATCATCCGTCTCGTTTGCATATTCTAATTATAGATAGCACTCAGGAGCTTTTTTTCTTTTTTAATTCAGGCAACAAAAAGAGTTCCAAGAAACAGTTCCCAAATGACATGATCTTCAGTGCAATTGCCTCAATGTTCCCTGAGAACGGTGTCCCAGATGACATGAAGGAAAGGTAGGGAGAGCTGTCCCCTTCGGGCCGTGTAGAGTGAGCAGGCAGAATGTTTATTCAGGCCTGCACTGTGGTTAGTAAGAAGCCTTAGTTATGGTAAGTGCACGAGGGTTTGCCCACACTTCTGATTATTACTTGGCTTACCCCTAGATACTCATTCCCATATTAAGGGTCCTTGTTTCCTGGCTTTTGAGTAAGTCTGGGCAGAGAGCTCTTATAATTCTGCCATTTTTCTGGAGAGTTACCCCAGCACTGTTTTTATCAAACCTTTCCCTCCCCTACTTTCAGACACACACACCCGCCCGTCATAATTGCAGAGGGTGCCAGCTTCACTGTACACCAGTCTGTCACCAACAAGACCCGCACAGACTCCGCTGGCCGGCTGCACCTGGATGATGTCAGCACCCAGTCTGTGTTTGCTCAGCGAAGACATTCCCTCGGGAGGAACGCTTACCTCTCTTTTCTTAAATAGGTATCGGGAGCTAACAGAGATGTCCGACCCCAATGCGCTTCCCCCTCAGTGCACGCCCAACATCGACGGCCCCAATGCCAAGTCCGTGCAGCGGGAGCAGTCGCTGCACTCCTTCCACACCCTGTTTTGCCGGCGCTGCTTCAAATACGACTGCTTCCTTCACCGTGAGTGGGCTGCTCTGAAATGCTCTCCTGTCTTCCCTTCCTAGCCACTGTTTCCTTCTCTTTACTTTAGTTTGTCATAGGGAGTCCCTGCTTCCGATGTGAAGATGGCTTGACTCAGGACCAGTCTGTGTTTACGTGTTGAGTTGTAGTGCAGTGCGCTTTGCAGGGTCAGGACAGAATAATCGTCGATGTCGTCGTTTCCTAATGCTCCTAGCTTGAAAGGGTTGTGTTGGTCCCGGGAGCAGTTAAATTCTGTGCACCTTGACGGCAGCTTCTTATACCCAAATCCTCCCACACCGACTCCCTAACTCGATTCCGCTCCTCCCTCTGCTGCCAAGTGGAGCGAACCACTGGAGACAGGACAGTGTTGTGTTTTCCAGCTTTCCATGCCACCCCGAACGTGTATAAACGCAAGAACAAAGAGATCAAGATTGAACCGGAGCCGTGTGGCACGGACTGCTTCCTTTTGCTGGTACGTTCTGAAACCGCTCTGCCATTGTTAACTCTTCGGGCAGGAAGTGCTCCTTGGGCTCTCTGCCCCTGGGAACACAAACCGAGTGAGACCCTGCACAGCACTCGGGGGTCGTAGAGCACAAATGAAGCGGGACTTCGGCTCTTCAAGGGCTCGCAGATACGGAGGCGGTGGGACTGTGGACTTGGTCTTGTGGGTGGGGTTCAAAGAGCACTGACGGCTCTCCTGCTCCAGGTATCATTTATTCAGATCGCAGAGCCTGAAGCCGTGTCATTTGAATTGAGCTGTGTGTTTATGTTTAACTTACAGAAATGTATATGCACAAGTTTTATTTTACTGCTTTTTAGAAATCAGTGCATATTCAAACGCTGGACTGTTTTTCCTTGAACTTTTATTAAGAAAATTTTCAATTATGCAAAGAAATTGGAAGATACCTTTTTCCTCAATTTAATAACATTTTCTCATATTGGCTTTATTCCTTTATTTGTGTGTATGTATTTTTTGCTGAGCCATTTGAAAATAAGTGCGGACATTGTGATGTTTGTTTGCTCAGTATTTCAGCATGCATCTCCAAAAAATAAAGGCATTCTCTCGGATATCACAGCTAAGAAAATTAACAAGAATTCCATAGCATCATCTATCTGTTACATATTCAGATTTTTTTAGTGGAACCAGGAATAGCTAGTTTTTTATTCAAGCAAAGATCATACAGGTCATACATCATATTTGGTTATTATGTCTTCTCAACCTTTTTTATTATTTTTAAATTTATTGATTGATTTGAGAGAGAAACATCAATTTGTTATTCCATCAACTTATGCATTCACTAGTTGCCTCTTGGTTGTGCCCTGCCTGGGAATCGAACCTGGGACCTTGGTGTATTGGGATGATGCTCCAAGCAACTGAGCTACCCTGCCAGAGTTTCTCAGTCTCTTTTAATCTCAAATAATCACACCTTTCTTTTTTTCTTTTGAAAAGTTAGGCTGGTTGTCTGGTACGATGTCCACATTCTGCATCTCTGTTGTTTCCTTCTGGTGCCATTTAACTTTTTACTCTGTCCCCTATTTCCCATAAATCAGGGACTTCATTATAGTGAAGGCTTCATTATACTACATTAAACATTTTGAGTAAAAATATAAGTCATGCTGTGTGTGTCACATCTTAGCATAGGTACATAATGCCAGAGTCACTTAATTCAAAACTTTTCTTTTGGGCCCTGGCTGGTGTGGCTCAGTGGATTGAGCCCTGGCCTGCAAACCAAAGGGTCGCCCGTTCCATTCCCAGTCAGGGCACATGCCAGGGCTTTGAGCCAGGTCCCCAGTTGGGGACATGCGAGAGGCAACCACACATTTTTAAAAAGACACTTTACTTTTGGGATTGCCATTAATATCCTTATTAGTGGTAAATCTTCATCCTTTACATGTAGATTTAGTTTTCAGAAATAGCTAGAAGCCTTTGGGAACCAAGTGTGGTAGGAAGACAGATAATCAAGCTGAAGGATAGTTATTTGGTCTTCAAAAAAGAGAAGAGAAAAGCAGACCTGGCCGGTGTGGCTCAGTTGGTTGGAGCATCGTCCCATAACCAAAAGGTTGCAGGTTCAATTCCCAGTCCAGGCAAATACGTAGGTTGTGGGTCCGATGTCCAGTCTGGGCTCATATGGGAGACAACCAATTGATGTTTCTCTCTCACGTGGATGTTTCTCTCTCTCCCTTCCTCTCTCTCTAAAAGTAGTGAAAAATATACCTTTGGTTGAGGATTAAAAAAAAACATAGCTATAAAAGTAAAAAATTATTTCTTCCAAGTTTAATACACTGATTTGGAAGGAAGTTCCAAAATTAAGTAGTAATGTTGTGCAGATCAGCAGTTACACATTTTGTTGAAGCAGAGGCAGAGCAGTAGAATGTAAAGAGCAGTGTGTGGCCTGGGGACAAGGAGCCCTGGGCCTTGGACGCTGGAAAAATGAGCTGTATACTCTCAAGCAGGTTCCTCCCCCTCTCTGCACCTCACTACCTCATCTACAGCAGAATGTGTTCTCAAATTCCGAACAACTCATATGCAAATGAATTTTAGATACAGCTCGCTGGAAAGTTGCATAGACGATATCTCTTTAAGATCACTTTCTAGGATAGCTCTTTTATGAAGAGGTGTAAGTTACTAAGTTTTAGGGTGTTTGCTAAGCGGCTGTTACGTGGTCACACTTATCTGGGACAGCAGACACATTAAAAAGACAGTATCGTCGCACGTAAGCACGGGTGTTGAAGAAGACACTGTGTGGTGGTGGGATAGGTACGGTGACTCTGGGCCCACTCCGGTTTTCTGCCCCGACGTGTCTGCCGCAGGAAGGCGCAAAGGAGTACGCCATGCTCCACAACCCTCGCTCCAAGTGCTCCGGCCGTCGCCGGCGAAGGCACCACGTGGTCAGCGCTTCCTGCTCCAACACTTCGGCCTCTGCTGTGGCTGAGACTAAAGAAGGGGACAGTGACAGGGACACGGGCAATGACTGGGCCTCCAGCTCCTCAGGTACTGTGAACAGAGAGTGATCTCCTCTTCCCACCCAAGGACTCTGGTGAACCCGGGGTCACCTCCGAACACTTACCGTTGCTATGTTTTATAACATTGCTAGTTTTTCCACAGGTTTACCTATGAGCAGTGGAGACGGGGAATATTATTTTTGTTCCTAAGTGTGCTGCCTTTTAAGTGAAGTACTTCTGAGTTGGTGGCCAACTCCTGGTGATAGCTGCAGCGCACTTTCTTCCGTTTCTCTCTTTCTTCCTCTCTCAGAGGCCAACTCTCGCTGCCAGACGCCCACAAAACAGAAGGCGAGTCCGGCCCCACCCCAGCTCTGTGTGGTGGAAGCGCCCTCGGAGCCTGTGGAGTGGACGGGGGCTGAAGAGTCTCTCTTTCGCGTCTTTCACGGCACCTACTTCAACAACTTCTGCTCCATCGCGAGGCTGCTGGGGACGAAGACGTGCAAGCAGGTACTGTCTGAAAGCGCCGGAGCGCGCTCGGGCCCTCCTTTCGTGCACTGCACCGCTCTGCCAGCCCGTTGCTGTCTGGCGGGCCCGCCTGTCTGGGGCGAAGCTGTCTCGGGCTCCTCCCGTGCGCCTGTGCTGCTAGGCCGTGAAGTGAGTCTCCAGACCCCCCAACCCCCCCGAAGGCCGGGTCTAGCAGTGCTTGGGGACCTGCCGTCCTCCTTGCTGGCTTCTCATTTCTGTCTTTAACCACCGTTTAGTTCTTCTGAATGTTTCAGCACACTTTTACCTTCTCTTTCTGGTTTCTTTCTGCCTTTTCTTCTAAACATTTATCCCTTTCCTAGAAGAGACCCCAGGTCTTTCTGGGGATGTTCTTGCCTAGCGTACTCCTGCTCCTTAGCGGCAGCCACTGCGCCCTCCATCGGTCTCCGCATTGCTTTCTTCCACAGCTGCCCCACCACAGGGTTTTCTGATCACCACCCCCAGCGCTAGGCCCAGACCTTGCCCTGCTCACTTACCGTCCCCAGAGTCACACCTTGACGGTGGCCACTGACGCCCTGCAGGCAGGACAAGACTGCGGGAGAAGACACTGTAGAACAGGGACTGGGAGTCAGGTGACCAGGCCAGTCTGTCTGCAAAGAAAGGAGCACCGGAGTGCGCCCTGCCCGCTGGGCTCCCTAACTTCTGGAGGAGTCTCTGCGGCCTCTTCTTCTGTTCCCTTTACTTAGAATGAGCAGTAGAACCTCGAATCGAAGTGCCTTCTGCTTTCTTAAAGATCTGTCACTCTGGCTACAAAACAATTTTCATGCATATTTCCTCAGAAGAAGATTTATACTTTCAAAGAATCTCAAAGGGGCCCATAACCAAAAAGGGGGTGGGGTGGGTGGGAAAGAGCTACAAATGAATGCTGTAAAGGGAGAAGAGCAGTGGGAGGGAACCCGCCTTCCCATAGTCAAGGCTATGACATCTTTGTACCAGCAGAGGGAGCTAGTGCTGTTATATGAGGGGGCCTCAAAAAACTTGTAATTTATAGATTAAAAATTGTCTACTTATTCTTACATGTTTAAACTTCAGTTACCTTCAAAGTACTCTCCATTTAATGCAACACTCCTGTTGGGCCTTTTTTCCACTGCTCAAAAGTTTTTGAACTTGTTGATTTTGATGGTTTTTAGTGCTTCTGCCATTTTTTATTTCACCTCTTCCACATTGGCAAAATGTTTCCCTTTGAGGATTTTTTTCATCCAGGGAAACCAACAAAAAAGTTGTTTGGGGCAAGATCGGGTGAACAGGGAGGGTGGAGCACGGGGGTCATGCACTCATTGGTCAAAAGCTGCTGAGCACTCAGCACAGCGTGGGCAAGTGCACTCGTAAATCATCCATCGTGAAATGGGCAAACATGTTGAAAGAGTCTTCCAAAAAGAAACTCAGCCTCTCACAACACCACCAGCCGGTACACTGATGCAGGTGGGTTCCTGGAACACTCACATAGCTGGGGAGTCCTGTACTATAAGGGGCCTGCCCTCCAGAAGATAATTCTGATTTTGGGGGGGCCCCCCTTGTATGTCAGGTCTTACACCCACTACACAAGGTACACCAGGCTGCCCTTCCTGAGAAGAGATGGATACTGTTGTTAAGAATCAGCCCACATGCAGGGCTTTGTAAGTAGAGCAGTAGGTGAAAGCTACCAACCAGGAAAGCTGTTAACTGTGTTCAGTACCCTCTCCTTTCTCAAGTCAGGCTAAATGTGTGAGAAGTAACTTCAGAGCCATTGTCACCGTCTCTCTCTGGCTGCAGGGATGCTCAGTCAGCTGCCTGGAGCTCTCCAGAACGCTCCTAAGCCCCTCCCCCGGCTGGGTCACTTGTATGACCACGTAGCTCAAGAAGGAGTGACAGGCCCTGTTGGATTTCTTTTCCAGGTCTTTCAGTTTGCAGTCAAAGAATCACTTATCCTGAAGCTGCCAACAGATGAGCTCATGAACCCCTCGCAGAAGAAGAAAAGAAAGCACAGGCAAGGGTGGGACAAAGGACTTTCTGTGGACAGGCTGTTCCTGGGCTCTGACCTCCCCGCAGACTTCCCATCTGCCTCCCTCTTCAGCCACTGCCCATCCGCTTGGCGGTGCACAGCGGGGGGCCAGTCTGCTCAGCGCTCCCCGTGGGTCTCTGCCTCCGGCCAGCCTTTCGCATGTCCCTGGATGCTGAGGGTCACGAGATAACTGTTTGGTTTTCTCTTAATCTCTGGGCCAGCGGGAGGAGAGCCGGCCTCACTGCTCCATGATGAGGCCGTTTTCCCCGCGGTGATTAGTTCACCACGGTGCCCACTTCTCAGCCCTGACCAGAGGTGTTTCGTTTTGTTGTTGGCTCCTGTATTGTTTATCTAAGTTGCGTAACGACACTTTCTAGCTAGCCTTTGCTTGGGGTCAGAAGTTTTTGTTTGTTTGTTTGTTTTTAATTGACATTCTGCCCGGCTTGGTTCCCTAATGACGATCCCCCACTGAAGGAAGGAACTGACACCGATTCCAGATGCAGAAGCAATTCCCCGCGGGTGCTCCCTTCCAGTTCCTTCGCTTGGAGCCTACTTCCAGAAAGCCTCCTCCCCTCCCCATCTTGAAACGCCCCCCACATTTGCACCTCCCCAAAGGCCAAGGAGAGGCAGAAACAATAGTATTATAATAGATACAGAGGCTTGGATTTAGATTTTGTCTTTTGTTTTATGTGTGTTTCTTTGTCGAGGGTAGGGATGCTGTTTATGTGTAAGTCTAGAGGCGGAGTCCAGCAGCATTTGGGGTGGACCCTGGGCTCCCTGTGCCAGAGCAGAGGCCTCTTGTGCGGGGATTTGGGAGGACACTCCCCAGCCATCAAACTGCAGTCCCTCAGAGTAGGTCACATTGTCCTTTACTTGAATCTGGAGAGCCCCCCAGGACCCTCACCCAGACCCTGTCTCTCTCTTCCAGGCTGTGGGCCGCGCACTGCAGGAAGATCCAGCTGAAGAAAGGTAGGCCGCACCAGGGCCCTCTGCAGTGCAGCGCGGGTCTCACGCTGTGGCCCTCCCCCGCCCGCCTGCGGCTGCACGTGTTGGCCATGCACCTCGTCCACAGATTGCAGCTTCTTCGCAGCAGCTGAGAACAGCTCAGTTTCTCACTGCAGCTGCAAAGACCTCTTAGGAGGTAGAGTTAGGGACCTTTGGCCTCTGACCTTCGTAGTATGCCATTTTCCAGTCCAGACTTCATTCAGTGCTCAAAACAGCTGCACTGTAATCCCAGACTATTTCCACACTTTCTCCACAAAACGAATCACCCCGTTGTAGCTTACAAACAACTGTCATCTAGGGTTGCCTCTCATTTCAGGTGCCAAATGTGTATCCAAGGTCATGGTTAGAACAGGCCTTCTCTGACTTAGCACCATGGGACACCTGGGAGGGAGGGCAGTCAGGGAGCGTGGGCACCGCAGTGTCCTGGTCTGTTCTTTTCCCTCCTAGATAACTCTTCCACCCAAGTGTACAACTACCAGCCCTGCGACCACCCGGACCGCCCCTGCGACAGCACCTGCCCCTGCATCATGACCCAGAATTTCTGTGAGAAGTTCTGCCAGTGCAACCCGGACTGTAAGGGCCCCTCCGCTTCCCGTGTCCGCTGAACGGCGCCCTCAGTGCCGCTCAGGTTGCCCAGCCCCCTGCGCCTTTTGCTGCTTACGGGCCTTCTGGCGTTCTCTTTGCTGTGCTTAGGCATTCCACGAGAGACTGAAGATCTGGAAATGTCGTTTTTTAAAAACCCTTACCTTTATGATTCTAAAAACAACAATTATACAGAAATCAGACGCTTTCCCAACTTCACCTTCCAGGGTGGAATTAAGGAACCTGAGGATCTTTTTTCTTATGGAGCAGTCACAGCCCCCCTTTCCAGAATGTTTTATAACATGCACAGGTTACAGTTCTGTGTATGACCAGTTTAGTTTAATGTCTGGAGTTTTAATATCAGGCCGGTCTGGTCGTTAGCAGGATGGAGGCTAAAAGCCCTTCTCTCACTCCCTAGCCCGCCGTACCCTTCCCCCTCAAGGCAGTTTGCTGGCAGCCCTTGCGGGACTCGGTGCCCAGGCAGCTGTGCTGGAAGCACCTCCAGCCCCAGCCCGTGGCAGATGTCAGTCTTAACCACAGAAGAGGGGCGCTGGGACTGGGGTGGGGGCAGGGGTGGAGGGGGTGGCACAGAACGGATGCACTCGGCTCTCAGAATGACTTTTGAGATGAGTTTTGATGTTGAGTGCTTACCAGTGAAAAACACTGATTTCATCTTCTTGGGGGCACTGCGCGCCTCCCTTCCAAACCCCACCGGCGAGGAGGGGGAGGGTGTTGTTGGGGAATCTCGAGGAACTGCATCTCCATAGTGGAACCTGCTTTTTTGACTCTCGGGTGTGAATGTTGGGAACTGCTCTGTTTTCACTGGGAAAGAATTTGAGTGTATGATTATCGGGCAGGGAACTGCCCTCCTGTTTCACCAAATACCCTTGAACACGTCACACTGACTTCTCCGCTGTCCCCGAGTCAGACCCGACCGGCACTAGCCAGCTCTTCCCCCTAACCTTGCCCGCTGCCCCGCCCAGGTCAGAATCGTTTCCCTGGCTGCCGCTGTAAGACCCAGTGCAACACCAAGCAGTGTCCGTGCTACCTGGCCGTGCGGGAGTGCGACCCCGACCTGTGTCTCACCTGTGGGGCCTCCGAGCACTGGGACTGCAAAGTGGTTTCCTGTAAAAACTGCAGCATCCAGCGGGGCCTCAAGAAGGTGAGGGCTTTTCGAGGGTTCTGGGCTGGGCGGTGGAGCGGGAAGGACTGACAGACCCCATCGGCCTGTTTCTGCCGGTTCCTTAGAGGGTCTGTGCATGCAAGTGCCTGCTAAATCCTGAAAGACACTCATTTACTGAATTAATAAAGGTCCCAGGTCTAGAGGAAGGGGTGTCACGTTCTGTTTTCCTCCCACCAGAGCAGGGTGGCCTAGGCCTTTTTCTGTTTTCAGATCCTCTTAACAGTTGCTAGTTCTTTCCACCCTGCCCCCCCCCCGCCCCCGCCACTGTCCCCATGCACACCTCGCACAGACAGCCCTGGTCACCCACACCCTGTAGTCTGAGGTTTGCCTCTTTCTTCCCCAGCACCTGCTGCTGGCCCCCTCGGATGTGGCCGGATGGGGCACCTTCATTAAGGAGTCTGTGCAGAAGAACGAGTTCATTTCTGAGTACTGTGGGGAGGTGAGTGCTATCGGTTTGGCCCACACTCTTTCTGGGGAGCTGCTGTTGAGAAACCCTGATTTTCTGTGGTCCAGACTTCTGTGAATGAATCTCTAAATAACTCAGCGAGCTCTCATGTGGCCTCTCGGGGGATCCCACAGAACTGTGTGCAGTCCTGAGACAAACCACTCTTTTCCACCTCTCTGGCAGCTCAGGCCACACGAGAGGGGCGGGCCGGCGGGGGCCTTTTTCAGCCTCCACACTGGCCAGCCCTGGTAGGGACTGACCTAGGTGGGGATTGACACGGAACGCCCCCAGCTCAGCATGTTGTGATTCTCCTCGTGACACTCAGTGTGTGTCACCAGCACCGCTGCCCCCGACCCCTGTCTGCCGGCAGGGTTCCGTGCCGGAGCAGACAGCCTGAGCAGGCAGCCTGACCCCCGCCGGGCCCTCTTCTGTCCCCGCAGCTCATCTCTCAGGACGAGGCTGACCGACGAGGGAAGGTCTATGACAAGTACATGTCCAGCTTCCTCTTCAACCTCAACAACGGTACGGAGTCCCCCTCATCCCAAGGTGGTCTTGAGCAGGTCTTCCTACCAGATGTGCCTTGTCGTGGTCCAGGTTCAGGTCAGCTCTGAATCTTCCAACAGATGCACAGAGCAAGGTGGTGAGATTGAACTCAGAGACACCATGCGCCACAGTTCACTTGCTTTGGGAGAACTTCCATCTCCAGGTCGTGTTTGTAATCGGAGCACTGAGCACTCACACCTCAGAAATCTCCCTTCCCAGACGAGCGCAGGAGCTCCACAGTTCCAGCGAGGGGGGGACCCACGGGGAGTACTCCCGCATGAAGCTGCATTCTTTTTTGTTTTTTCTTTTAAGCTGCATTCTCATGCTGCCTGCTTTCCCAGCTCCTACTAGTACTCTGGGCTTCAGAATTCCCACTGGATTGTCTTGTTTCCGTTACCGTGTGATCGATGTTAAACTCAGGCTCGAGCAGCTGTGGGGTTGCCTGGCGAGCTGACGGTCTCCCTTGGTTTACTTTACGCAGATTTTGTAGTGGACGCAACCCGGAAAGGAAACAAAATTCGATTTGCAAACCATTCAGTGAACCCCAATTGTTATGCCAAAGGTGAGTTCCCGGTGACCTGGGAGGTGGGCTGGGGAATGGATGCTTCATTTACTACGGTTTCTATCCACTATTTACTCTTTTTAGCTGAGTTACTTTTTGTCCAGAGAGAATCATGATTAATGTCTGATACCATTTTGAGCCTGTCTCTCAGTTTTTCAGTGTTTTTTTTCCAGTGAATACATTATAAACATTTCCGCCAAAACACAAACCCTTTGAAGATAATTCTTTCCCCGTGTCAGTTGTGAGAAAAAGAGATCTAAAATCATACAGGCAGCTTTATTGGCTACTTTCTAACTCCACTTCATTTATGTTTTCACTGGGAACTTAGAGAAGATCCATCCCGAGCCAGACTGGTTGTTGGTTCGGGGTGGACTAGGGACCTAGCCCTGGGTTTGTCCTGTTTGCAGTGGTCATGGTGAACGGGGACCATCGGATTGGGATCTTTGCCAAGAGGGCAATTCAAGCCGGCGAAGAGCTCTTCTTTGATTACAGGTGAGGCGGCTGGGACTGGTCCTACAGAGGTGGCCCTAGAGGTGGAAAGGGTGGCCGTTGGGATTGACTGGGGGGGCTTAAGTGGGTGATATGGAAGAAGGAGAGGGTCCTTGGGCGGCCAAGGCTTTTTCTTGGTTCTGGTCTCCCGTGCCTTGTCTCAGAACGGGGAACACTGTTGGCCTGTTAAGAAGTGGGAGGGAAGTGAAACAGGAGGGACCCCATCTTTTTAATCACAAAAGCCTTGATGGTAATCTCGTTCCTCCTCCTGCTCTGGGACAGGTACAGCCAGGCCGATGCCCTCAAGTACGTGGGGATCGAGAGGGAGACCGACGTCCTTTAGCCCTCCCGGGCCCCCGCCTGCGCTTACGGTAGCAGCACTGTCTTCGCTTCCCTGCGCACGCCAGCCACCGCTGCTCGAGTTCCTGCGCTCCGCCTCCCACCCACGCCGAGAAAACCCCCCACCCACTCTCTCTGTCGCGAGGCCTCATGGGGTCCAGCGGGAGCCACACTGTCTCAGTGAGAGGGGAGACAGGCAGCTTGGGCTGGGGCTCCCAGGAAAGAGCGTTGTGGGCATCGGCGGCTGCGGCTGCTCAGGCCTCACAGGAGGAGAGCGCAGGCGCGGGGTGGGGGATGTATGCTTGGCTGATTTCTCGTCACCCGGCTGTGGGCCTCGGAAATCAGCTCGGGCAGATCCTAACAAGCATCAGCCTATGTTTCTAGCTTTCTGAATCAAGGGTCCTTAGGTCATTGGGTTGCCAGCCTGTCTCTCTGTGGTCCTCTAAGACCCAGAGAGGACAGGGTAAGTGAAGTTTAGTACCTGGAGCTTATGAGTGGTCTGGGTTAAAGGAGGGCCCAGCAGGCAGCACAGATGAGATTCAGTGGGGAGATGGGTCGCCTCGCCACCTCTTCCTGGCAGGGTTCAAACTGGAAGGGTGGGTCCTGAGCAGAGACATTCACTGCTGGGAAAAGGGGAGCTAAGGGCCATCCTTCCAGGGGCAGAGTGGGAATCAGCCTGATGGTAGCAGTTACACTGCTACGCTTGGGGCCCAGCAGGCTTTGAGGAACCTCTGTGTATCCTGGAGGATATGTTTCAGATGCCTGGGAGCAAGTGGCGGTGCCTGGTCAGCTCCTCCCAAAGTTCTAGCTTAGCAACCACAGGCAGGCGTCGTGTTGCTACCGAAGAAGCAGCGTGAAGGGCGTGCCAGGCTGGGCGTGAGCGCTCTGGTTTCCTGGATCTGTAGTGGTTCCCAGGCCTTTCGCTCCCCTTAGAGGCCAGGCTCACGGAGCCACCGTTGCTTATCCCTTCGGGGTTGATGGGCGCCGGCCAGGACTAGGGGGAAGGTCGTTGGTGTGACTGGCTTTCCTGTCTGTAGCACCTGCTGTTGGAAAGGGCGAGTTGACGGTGTGTGTGGGAGGTGGGCAAGGGGCTCCCGAGTTGCACGTGTTTAGTTAGGATGGCATCCTGTATGTGTGCTGCGGACTGGCAGGGGGTGTTTGCAGTGTTGAGAAGACGGCCTGGGCCAGTCCGTGGTGCCATTCTCTCTGGGATTCATGCAGAGCAAAGCACTTTATTTCTTTTAGAAGGTCTGTAGATTGGGTTAGAGTTTGAGCCAAGGTTTCTGAGGTCCTTGCCCAAATCCCATTCCTGAGGGAGGGGAAGGAGAGAGGTGGAAGATTTCCCTCCAGCTCTGTCTCATTGCTTGGGGGAGCGGGGAGGGGCTGCCTGGACACAGAAGAACTCAGCGAGCAGAGGCCGGCACGAGGAGCTGCCCGGTGCCTGTGGCCGGTGTGCTGAGCTGGCAGGGAGCAAGGGGCATTGTGCTGGGTAAAAAGGCCACGGGCAGGCACAGACAGGCCTGAGGAGGGTTGGAATAGGGAGCAGGCTTCCCCTGCTCTCTGGGAAAGCAGAGCTTCTCTTTCCCGGTCTGTGCTGATCACCCCCTCCCTCCAACCCCGCCGGCTGCCCCGTGAAGCAGTCAGTGAGTGGGATTCCCTCTGGCTGAGCAGCTGTCCAGGGGTTTTCGTGGGACACGCACACACACACGCACCCACTCTCACTCACCACACCTGTGGGCACGTGCGCTTCACAGGGCACACTCCCAGCGGCACCTGACAGAAGCCCCTTCCCGCCTGATGGGGGCAGCCCCACATGATCCTAAAATGAACTTCTGCTGCGGTTTGTGTTGGTCGTGTGTGGGGGACACCTTCCGGCTGAACTGTGGGCTCTGGACTACTCATAAATGACAGGGAAAACCAGAGACGGAGCAGGAGGAGTTAAGTCTGTCTGAGATGCCAGGGACTGGCCATGAGGAGTAGGTGGAGAAAACTCACCCGCAGCCTTGGAGAGGCTGGGCGGACCCCGCCCTGCCCTCAGTGTGCAGGTCACTGTGGTCAGTCCCCTCCGTCCCCGGTGTCAGGCCACCAACGCTCCTGCCTCTCCAGCATTGCCATCCTCCTTCCCTGCTGGCCCCCACCTCTCATGCCGGGTGCCAACCCCTGCTCCCAGGCGCGGAACAATGAGTGGAGCAAGGCGGTGGGGGGCAGGGGAGGCTGATACGTGTGCGGCTTTATTGCCAGTGAATTTCACGCACTTTAAAGTCCTGTGGCTTGTGACCTCTTCTATGAATAAAGTGGCAGAATCCATGTTGGCACGTTGTGTACCGTCTGCTTTGGGGCTGGAAGGAGCCAGGGTTGGCAGGACAGGGCAGCTCGGGCTGAAGCTTTTGCATTCTGACCCCCACTTGTCTGCTGAGATCTGGCGCCGGGGAGGAAAGGGGTCAGTGCAAACCTGCCAGGCTCCTGGTGGGTGACACAAGGATTCCGAGGGCTCCCCTCAGAGATTTCCGGTCCCTCAGATTAGTTCCCTTAAAGCCACTGCACTTACCCGCCGCCCCCACCCAGCCAGGACACCAGCCACCGCACACAGACTGGGGCTCTGCCACTCTGCTTTATTGGAACGGCACCGAGTCCGAGAGCACAGCCTCGGAGTGGAGGCCTGGTCAGGCCGGCGGAGTGCCCGGCCGGCCTCCCGGGGCTTCCAGCACAGGAGAAGTGAACTGCAGACGGTGGCCCCAGCACAGGACAAAACGATTGTTTTTTTCTTTTATATATAAACTGATAATTTAAAAATTAGAGTGATATATAGTGGTTCTCTAGAGACAAACTTTGCAACAAAAAATATATATATAAAGAATATGACCTCCTGGACAAAGGAAGCAGCATCTCTGAGCAGAAGAAAGAGGGCTCCTCATGCATTGGGGGGGGGGGGGGGCAAGCCTTTGGACAGGCAGCCAGCCTATTGCATACCTTAGAAGAGGGAGGGAGAGTCAAGGGCTGGCTAGTCAGTGTCTGCATTATTTTTTTCTATGTTGCAAGTTTTTATGGCTTTGGCTAAAGCATGTGAAGCAGCGGAGGTACTAAAGTGCTAAGCTGAGGCCTCTCAGTCTTTGTAAAAAAAAAAAAAAAAAGGAGCGTGGGGGCCAGAGATGAAGCCCTCCCTAACCCCCAGCTGAGTGGACACAGATGGAAGACATTCCGTAGGGCAGGGGTCAGACTGGGGGACGTGATTTAGCCACCTCCTCCCCCATACCTTGTGCATCCCTACAGTCCCACACATCTGTCCCTGCTGAGATTGAATGTTTGAAGAGAGACAGTTAATCTCCTCTGCATTCTGTTAATCCCTGGCAGCAGCTGGGACAGGGATGGCGGGAAGGGCCTGTCTTTACCCCATGAGGCTTCTCCTTTGGGGCAGAAAAACAATCAGGAGCCTGGAGAAACGAAACGGGCAAGGCATCGGTTTAGGCAGTGAGGCTTGGCCACTCCCTTTGGTCCCGGCTGTAGCTGTGCCCACCCAACTTGGTGGGAGGGGCATCTTCTGTGTGAGGAGAACCAGCTAAGAGGAGCCAAATGTCCCTGACAGGGTTGGGTCGAGACAGGTACCGGGGGGTTCGAGAAGATGGACTTGGTCCCTGAAGCCCTTCTGATTCACTCAGACCTGGACTCCTCCAGGATCTGGGGTAGGTTTTGGTCCCGGGGACCTGGGGCTGGGGCTGGGGCTGGGGCTGGAGCCGGGGCTGGAGCCGGGGCCGGGGCCGGGACTGGGGCTGGAACTGGAACTTGGGTGGAAGCTGGTGTAGGGGCTGGGGCCTGGGCAGAGCCTGAAGTGGGTAGGGGAGGTTTGCCGCCAGGGTAGTCGTGGGTGGCCTTGGGCTCATTGGTGTGGTAGGAACCCTTGTAGCGATGATTTTGCAGATAGAAGAGCACCAACATTCCTATCAGTCCCAACAGCAGGAAGGCCACCAAAACTGAAGGGGGGGGAAAAACATTTCAGGGCAGATCTGCGGGATTTCACCTGCACACAGACGCACATGCACACTTCCGACTACAGCACACACGTGCAACAGCGTCCGCTGTGCAGCCCCATCGGGCTTTCCTAAGTGTCTGCTGGGCCTGAACCCCTGGCTTCTGTTTCCCCTGCTGCCTCCTGCTTCTAATGCTCTCTCTTCACGTCCCTGGTGGTTACTGCCATCTCTTCCCCCTCTAGATGTTACTGTATCCCCATTCCCTCGTCCCTGACCCATAGCCCCATCTTAATAATTCAGTTAAAAGTGCAGCGTCCTCAAGCACTTAAAAACCTCCAGCTCCGTTATGTGCCACCTGCAGCATAACCTGTCTCATCCTTCTCCGCACCGCCATGCGCCTGGTGCCTGCGCCACCCCTCGGCTCCGGGCACGCGGGGCGGGGAGGGGGTGCTGACAGTCAGAGGGTAGGGTCAGGAGGTCAGGGTGGGATGGCACTACTCACAGCCTAGAAGTATGGCGACCCATCCTTCGTCGTGATAGTATGGAAAGTCTGAAGAGGAAAAAGCACTAGTTAGGAGAAGCCTCCCTCCTTACGTGGTAAAAACCATTTTCTTTCCCCGTCCTCCCTCTTCCGTGTCCCGGGGACGTACCTGGGGGCAGGTACCAGGGGTCCAGCTCAGGCGGCACCTCTGCGAAAAGACGCGGCATGGCTCCGCAGTTCGACTCAGACAGGTCTCCCTGGACTCGGAGGGCCTCGGCCAGCTCCGCAGTCATGGGTCGCGGGGTCCGGAAGTGGGTCTTGAGGGGAGCCACGTTGTTGAACCGGACACCGGACAGGCAGCCCGAGAAACCCGGGGTGTTGTAGCGCTGGATCTCTGGGTCGATCACGCCCGTCTCTGGGGGGGAGGGAGGAGCCGTGGCCCGCCGGCAGCCCTGCCCCCTCTCTCCATCCGTGGGTACCCACTCACCGCCCCCTGCACCTCGAGTCCCAGTTCCTCCCCGCTCTTCCAGGCCCCGGGGACTTCTCCCACGATCTCTTACCCAGAACGCACCGGCACCCGCAGCTTACCCATGACGCGGCCTAGATACAAGGCCTTGGGCGAGTCCAGCTGGCTGTCCACCAGCAGTGAGAATTTCTGTTCTGTCAGCGGGAAGTAGTCCACCTGGGGCGGGGGGTTGGCGGGAGGAAATGAGGAGGGAGGACCAGAGGCAGATGCAGCCACGATCTCGCAGGAACTCTGCCCGAACTCCGTCCACCCTGGTGTACATTCTGGCTCCGTCCTCGGCCGGCGGCCCCCGGGCCCAGAGGTCGGATTGGGCGTGGAAAACCCAACAGCCTGGCTCACAGCCAGTGGTTTGACTCTGGGAAAACCACGGTACTCCCCGAGTCCATGTAACGATTTGTAAAACGGAGCTGTAAGAACACCTGCGTCACTGAGCTCCCGAGTCACATGAGGTAACAAGTGTGAGGGTTCTCTGTGGACTGGCATGTGCTCTACAAATGCTGAACATGTGACATGTTCCCGGGCGCCCCCACCTGGACCGTGAGGCTACGGTGGGAGCCGGGCCGCCTCCCTCGCACACACCTGGACGGACAGGCTGCGGTAGACCCGGGTGATGTTGACGCTGTGGGGCTGGCCGTCCGTGACGGGGCGGGTGGTCAGTTGGTACACGTAGGGGCTGGTGCCCAGCTGGTATCGCAGCTGCAGAGTCCCTGGGGGGCGCGGAGGGGAAGTCTCCTCTCAGGTCCTACAGCCCACGTTTTCTAGGGCTCTTGCAGGTATCAGTGCATCAATGGTCGTGACCTTGAAGTGCCATGAGGAGCAGGAGTAGAGGGGGAGTGCCCGTCGGGAGCTTACCATCCTCCTTGATGAGCACGGCCATGTAGTCGCGCACGAAGGAGCTGACGTAGAGCAGGACGGCGGGGGCGGAGTGTGTGCTGAAGCTGAAGGACACCTCCTCTCCAGTGACGTTGTAGACCGGGCCCCGGTAGCCCGGCACGGGCCGGCCGGGCTGCGGGTAGTCGGGCAGACGGTAGCCGGGGCCGTGGTAGCCCGGCACGTAGCCGGGAGTGTCATAGCCAGGGATGTAGCCCGGCTCGTAGCCCGGCACCGGCCGGCTCAGCATGTGGGAGAACTCGCGGGCGGCGGAGCGCAGCGCGGACTGCAGGTTATAGCGCATCCAGGTGCCGGGCTCAAAGAAGCCGCCGATATCTGAAGGCAGAGGCGGTGAGATCAGGGCTTCGTCCCCACCTTAAGACACTGTCTGTGTCAGCCACACACACACACACACCCGCCCCTGGGACTTGCCTTCGGTTTCCGCCACCAACCACAGTTTCATCGAATCCAACCCCTGCGTTTTACAGGTGGGGAAACCAAAGCTCAGATGGGTAGTGACTTGCTTAAGAATACGAAGCAAGTGGAGAGCCAAGATTAGCATGGAGACGGCGTGACCCCGTCCAGCACCTTCCCCGCTACTCACACTTCCAGGCCGAGGCCAGAGGCCTCCTCTTGCTGGTCCCTAAGCCCCTGCATGTCCCTACCTCCGCCAGACTTGCCATCAACGACCCACCTGCTCTCACAGCCTCCTAGACCAGCCTCGGGGAGGACGCGGTCTGGGTGTGTGTGCGGAGGTCTTGCTGTGGTGAATGGCAAGGTTCTCCTTAACCAAGAACCAGGTTGGAGGCGGGTTTTAGGAGTGCAGCAATTGCCAAATAGGGAATGGCATAGGAGGACCTCATGCAGCCTGAGGTGGGGACGCTTGCAAGGGGGGTAACCTGTGTTACCTCGGTGACAGGGGAAGACGGGAAAGTTATTTGCTTGTTGTGTTTGAGTTCTTTTCCTACCACCTCGCTGTGCCACCCCTTTCTTGTCCCATGTCATGCCTGTGGAGTCACCCGGCATCCTCAGCAGCCCGACGGCCCCAGCTCAGGGCTCAGGGACCCACACACAGCTCCAGTTTTCTTCTGGCGCTGCCCCGACACCCTCCTCCCTTCCTTCCCTGCCACCCCTGCCTCTCCTTACACCCTGGGGCTCCCCGCCCTCCCGCAGCCAGCAGCACCCACCGTGGTTGCAGTATGGTCCATCAAAGGCCGTGAGGTCACAGTCACACGTGTAGTAGCTGTAGCGCTCCACGCAGCGGCCTCCGTGGAAACAGGGGAAGCGGGGGTGGGCGCAGCGGCCCGTGCAGTTGGGTGAGGTGCCCTCGGAGGCATTGGCGCGGCCTTCCAGGTTCAGGGTCACTCCATTCAGACGCATAGCCCTCAGGCAGCCCACGAAGGGGCGCCTCTTAAACTCTGCCGACCCTGGGAGTGGCGGGCAGGTCAGGAAATGGATGTAGAAGGAGAAACGAGTTGGGGCTGGGGAGGGACCCGAGGGAGCCAGGGACTGGAGAGGAAAGGGGGGCCTCTGGCTCACTGGGAAGCAGAGGGGACTGGGAGCTAGGACGTGGGGTCCCTGGGAACGAACAGAGCAGCCTCGAGAGGGTGGGGAGGTTGAGGAGGCCTCGGACCTGCCCCGGGGCTGCCGCTCACCCACGTAGAGGGGCTGGTCGTACTCCAGCCAGATGTAGGTCTGCAGGGGCATCGGCCGCACCGCCCAGGGCCGGTGGTCCACCCGGAGCCGCGCCTGCTTCACGTTGATCTCGGCCCGCACCAGGTGCCACTCGTCGTCGTTGAACTCGAAGTCCTCCGAGTGCACCGTGAGGTTCTCGTCTCCGTTCCCCACGTTGAAGGCGAAGACCACGTCCCGGGATGCTGGACAACGTGGGGGTGGGGGGGAGGGGAGAGACTCAGACCTCCATGGTCCCGCATAGACCCCGCACAGATCGCTCAGCCACCACCACCTCTCCTCTTCACTCGGAACCCCTGGGACGGCCCTCCACTGTGCCTACGGCCTGGGACAAAACCCACAAACGGCCTGAACCCTCGTACCCCAGGTGTCTCCCAAAGTTACAGACCCCCGAGCCAGCTTCCCAGCCCCCCTTCTCAGGTGTCCAGCTCCCTCATTCCCAAATAAGGAGCCCGAGGCCCAGAGAGGCGAATGGGGTGCCCTCCGGCACAAAGTCAGCTTTCCAGACGGGGCTGGGCCCAGACCCCGGGGTCATCGAACGCCCGCGCCATCCTGCCCCTCACGGGGGCATCCGCCCTGGTCTCTCGCCCCAGCCCCCACCCACCCCGTGTCTCCCCAGAGAGCGTCACCCCCTCGTTCTCCCCAGCACGTCTGCTCACTGTTCAGTTCCACCCGCACGTAGGGCCGGCACCACTGGTAGTACGGGCCCCCCATGTTCTCCAGGAAGACCCCCGAAGGAGCCGAGGTCCGGAAGTAGAAGGAGATGTCCAGGCTGTGGTTGGCGCAGATGGGAGGGAAGCGCAGGGTAGTCCCGGTGTGGAAGGAGATGGTGTTCCAGGAATTGCCTGGGAAACCAGGGGGAGGCAGGCCTTGTCGGGGTGGGAGGGGGGGAGTAGGGGAGCCTCAGGGCAGCTGGGGGAGGGAAGGCAAAGGTGACAGCAGGGAGACCAAGGACTGTAATGACAGAGCAAGGTGTAGAGGAGCAACACGGGGGCGTGGGGGGGGGGGCTGTATCATAGCAGGGCCTGGGGTGTCTGGCCGTGTGTCCTGCAGGCGCCCAGTGGGTCAGGCGGCCTAGCTTCTGGAAACGGGAAAGCCGACCCTGGAGGGTACACAAGAGGGGCCTGCCACTCACGATCGCCATAGCAGCGCAGAGGCCTCAAGAAGAACTGGGCCTCGGAAGTGGAGCGGTTTGTGTCCCCCACCACCACCTGAGTGACAGGCAGGTGGTCCACAAAGGTCAGCAGTCCCTTGTCGGTCCTCCTGCGGGGGCGAGATGGAGCAGCAGCTCAGCCCCTGCCTTTCATGTGCCCGGGACCCCAGAAAGCCCCGTCCCTTTGCCGCCCTCACCACTGGGGCTGGTCAGCGTCACAGTTGCAGTGCAGCGCGGGGTCCACGCAGCTCCGGTCCAAGCCACAGGCACAGCGCTGGATCCCAGGCTGCGAGCCTCCCCAGTAGAAGTGCTGCTCCTCGTTCCGGCCAATCCAGAAGCTGTACGGGTAGCCTCCTGGGGGAGAGGGGCAGGCGGCTTCCGGGCCCTGTCCCTCCGCTGGCCTCCAGGCTCCCCTCTCGCCTTCCTAACCAGCCCGGGCTCTTGAATCTTCTAGCCCAAGGCTCCAGCTTAACCACCTGGTTTCTTTCTCCCAGGCCCCCGCTGGCCTCCCCTCCGGCTCTCCCCCTCCCCCTCCCGGCCCCCAACCCCCACCTGCAGTGTTGAGCAGCCGGGAATTGTAGCAGGAGAATTCGATCCACTGTTCACAGTGCTGGGAAGCGTTGGCCAGGGCACTGACTTCCTCCCAGGATGCATTCCAGTACTGGACAGCCCCCAGGAATGGCCGCTCCATGCTAGAGCCCGTCACCCGAGTTGTCCACAGCCTGTCATGCCGCACAACTGTCCATGCCCGGTTCTCTGGGGGAGGAACAGGGACCGCTTTGGCTGGAGATGGGCATTCTCTACCCATCCCTCTGCCCGCCTCCACCGCTGCTGCTACAACTCGGAGCCAATAGAAGTGGCCGGCAGCTGCGCTCCAGCCCAGCTCCGGGTCCCGGGCCCTGTAGGCTGGAGGGGAGGCAGCTGAAACGGACCAGGAAGCTGGAATTTATCCGCAAGGCTAGGTTACAAATTCGAGAGTGTCGCATTTTCCTTCTGCCCTCCTTCAACCCCACCGCAGGTTACTCCTCCTGGCCACTGGCCACCCTTCACTCCTTCCCTGCTTCCCCCACAACCCAGCATAGCCTTGCCAGCTGCCCCCCACCCCCAGTCAGAACCCCTTACCTCGGATGTCACAGTACACCACAAACGGCTTCAGGGGGCCACTGCCATCGGGGTCGATGGTGAAGTTTCCCGAAGTTTTCCCACTAAGCCGATAAGCCTCACAAGATTCCTTATACAAAGCTGGTAGGTGGCAGGTGGCGGGGAGGGGGGGAGCAATTATGGGTTCAGAGGGCTAGGACAGCCAGCCCCACCACCTCTAGTTGCCTCATGATCCCTGGCAACCTTCTCCTCACCGACCCCCACCCCCGCCCCAACTGTCCCTGACTGACCCCCCCATATCCCACAAGTAAAAGGCTTACGTTCATGGCAGGTCACCCCCTTGTAGCCAGTCAGCTCACAGTAGCAGATGAAGTCATCCCAGGACTGGTAGCAGCGCCCGTCATGCTCACACATGTTGGGGCTGCACCTAAGGAAAGGGCCGGCACCGAGGGCAGAAGCCTCACTGGGAGCCCGAGAGTGGGGTCTGACCCCCGCAGGCTCGGCCCCCAGCCCCCGAGAGCGCCAGAACCCCATGAGAGACACCTCGCCCGACAGCCAGGTGTGGGCCGAGATGCCAGGGCCTCGGGCAGGCCTCAGGGCTCAAGTTCCGTTTCCCCTCCCCTAAAGGAACAGATAATGCTTTGTACCCCACCCCCAGAAGAAAACCTTCTAGGACCAAGAAATAGATTCCTCATTTCCATTCTGGGCATGGGTCACTTTAAGGGAAGATACAGGAGGTGAGAGGTCAAGGAGGAATCATCTCCGGGTGGGAGACTGAGGAGCTGGGACCAGAAGACAGATTACTGAGAAAGGCCACCCCCTTTGGGACACCATGGAGGAGGGCTTTGAAGGGGGTCACCTCCGGCAGGGAGAGGAGCTTCGGGATACCTGTCAGTGATGCCACACGTGTCGAAGAGGATCTCGGCGAAGTATCCCAGCCGCCGGCCCTCCACCAGAGTCAGGTTGACCAGCTGACCGTCCACCTTGAACAGCTCCATGCAGCCATGGAATGCTGTCTGGTTGGAGTGGCAGTCCCATCGACTGGCTGGCTTGGGACAACCTGGAGCAACCGCCCCTGTGAGGCCCTCCCCGCAGGACCCCCCGAGACCCCCCCCAGGGAGATGCTGAGGCAGAGCCAGACGTGAAGGGAAGAGGGCAGCAGGTGATGGCGGTGACTTTCCAGGCCCCAGAGTGGAAAGGGGGGGTCTATCCCTACACAACTCTCCATGTCGTCTCGCCTGGGTGGGCTCCAGTGGCAGCCTTCCCTCCCGGGGACAGGGGTCTGGCCAGGTTAGCCACCACTTACCTCCAAAAAAGTACGAAGTCCCTGTACGGATCAGCAGCGGGTACGAGACCCTGACCTCTGCTCCCTCCACGTCGTCAATGCTGATGACTGCGTGGTTGTCCTGTGCCGCGAAGTTCACCTCGTGCCAAAAGCCATCGTTCAGGCGGAACCCTGGACGGGAAAGGAGGCTGCTGTGGGTGGGAAAGCACCAGGCAGGCCCTGGGAGAAATGTGTCTTCCGTTGGGGGGGGCAGCACCCCCACTCTGTGTCCCCCTCCCGTTGTTACGCTTATCACACCGAGCGGTGGCATCTGAGTGTCTCTCTCCGCCATCCATAACCCCAGCAGCTTGTACGGAGTCTGCGAAGTTATAAATGAGGAACAACCGCCTCCAGAGGCTCCTTGGAGCTGGAGCGTGTACCAGGACCCCAGCCTTCCCGCTTCTCCCTGCACCCAAGGCCCCTGAGGTCTGCCCAAGCTGCCTGTGTCCTCTCCCACCTTTTCCCAGGGTCCCGGGACCTCCTGCTCTGCTCCCCTCACCCCCCCCCCCCAACACACTTTCCCATATGCAAGGCCTCAGGCCAGGCCTACAACCTCCCCAGCTCTCCTCTGCCCTTCTCCGGCCTCCTGGCGCCCCGCACCCCCGTCCACCCCTCACCAGCGGCGAACTGCAGCTTCTTTCGGCCCGTCTGCGCGATGGACACGTTGACCTGCCCTTCGCTGAGCATCAGCTCCACGTGGCCCAGCCCGTCCCCCAGCTTGGAGTACAGCAGCAGGCCCGTGAGGTCCCAGGTGCGGAAGCGGAAGGACACCGCCAGGCGGCCGCGGCGCGGGAAGCCGGGCACTTGCAGGAAGTTGTGAGGACCCCCGAAGTTGACCGGGTGAGGAACCGGGTCCAGGCAGCGGAAGGCCACCTTACCCTGGGGGCGAAAGTGAGGATCCATCAGTAGCGGAAAGCACGGGGCTCTGCTGGGAACCCTGTCTCCATACTGGTCTAAGGTCTGTGTCACAGCACTCGCTGAGCGTGCGAGGCAGCCAGGGGGCCTAGGGGTACGACCTCCACCCCTGGCCGTTCTCACCCCCCTAGACACATGTCCAGCTGTAGAGGGGGTCTCCGCTCGCTCGCTATCACTGATCTACACCGTCTTCAGGGTGGCCGCCTCCTTCCTTCCCACGGCCAGAGGCGATTTCCTGCAGGCTTTGCGGCAGCCCCACTGAACTGTGCGCTGCTGAGCTGGGGGGGCGTGGGGGGGGCGTGGATCCCACCAAAACGGCCCTGAGTTCAAGTCCCTACTAAGAGGCCGCACCACCGCGCGGCCCCTGGCTGCGCCTCTCCAGGCCTCTGCACCGTATTTTCCTCGTCTCTTCATTGACGAGGTGGATGGCCAGACCGCAGCTTCCTAACTGGGCGGTAGAGGGGTGAACTTTGCACTTCCTGCGATTCCGTGATGCCCCCCCCCCCACGTGAGCACCTGGCTGCGGAGAGGTCCTGGGCTTTTGTCTGATTGTCAAGATCTCTTCCCGCGCCACCTTGGCTTTCCGAGCCGCCCTGATGTCCCTCCCGTTCTCCCAGACCCCCTGCCCACTGGCCTCGAAGGTGATCCGCGAATGGCGCCGCACAGCCAGGTCCGCGATGTTGACCCGGTTGAAGATGATGTTCTCCATGCAGCCACGGAAATTATGCCGATAGCCGAGGTTTTTCCGCGCGGCGCCCACCAGGCCCCCGACGAACATCTGTGGGCGGGGCAGGGGGTGAGGTTCCCTGGGTGCGGGAGTGCGCACGCGCGCGCGCTTCCCTTGCGCTCCCCGCCATACAGCTTTGTAAAAGACTTGAAATACGCATTTCCCCGGTATCGGTATTAAAGCTGTAAGCTTGCTGGCCCCCCACCCCCACCCCGAGGTTTGGGTTCTAGTCCTGAATCCACCGCAACGTGGCTGCACGCCCTTGGACAAGTCCATACAACTTTCTGGGATTCTTCCCATGCGGACCGAGGCCAGGGTCTTTACCCACTCCACAGAGTTGGGCAACCAAAGGGGTAATTTTCTCATCTCTCCCAATCCCCCACATCCAGATTTCCAAACCGCATCTCAGCAGTTCTGGGGGGGGGGGCGCCCCAGAGATCTGCATATTAACAGCAACAACGACAAAACCCCAGGCCTTTGTGTGAGCTACAAGTTTGCCAAAAGCTTCCAGGATATTCAGAAACTGGGAAGCAAGGGCTTGCCGTTGGATGGTGGAGAGAAGAGAGAAGTGCTGCCCTCCCCCCCCAACCCAGCCAGCACCCCACTCCATCCAAAGACCCTCCTGCTCTGCTCACCTCAGTGTCCAGGTTCAGTCTCTCGAAGTCGCCGTTGAGAATGAAACGCTGCACGTAGCCGTCCAGGGTGAGATTGGCGTGGCGGCCAAATCGGTCCATACGCACATAATGCCAGTGCTGGTCATTGAGGACCCCACCCGCGCTCACCGATGTGTGTCCCGGCCTTGGCTGGATGGGGCTGCTGCCTGAGGGGCAATAGGGCTAGGTCAGGCCTTGAACGCCCCGTAGGCCCCCCGGACCAAGCAGCAGCCAGGGAGGGTGGGCATACAGAAAGTGGACCACCAGGAGTCTGGGATGGAGTGGTGGTCATGGGCAAGGACATGACTTAGGGTGAGACAGTTAACCTCTTTGAGCCTCTGTTTTCCTATCGGTAAAGCTTGGGGCATGATAGTTGCTTCTACTTCATCATGTGGATGTTAAAAAAAAAACCCACAACTAATTAGATACAAAAATAATGGCCATTTAGTGAGTGAGTGTGTGTGTGTGTGTGTGTGAGTGTGTGTGACGTTTTTACAATGAGACTGGGACTGGAGAAGTGCCTCGTCCAAGGTCACACCGCTAGCAGGCAGTAGAGCTGAGACTGGGATCCAATCTGCTCACTCGCTGTCCAGTGTTTTGCCAGCACCAGATTCTACGCGGCAAAGGCGGGGTGGTTGGTCCGGACAGAAGAGGGCTTCCGGAGGGGCGCGGGGTCGCGGAGAAGGTGCGGCGAAGCGCTGGGCTGCGGCGCCTCAGGAGCCGCACCCGGCTCGCTCACCCAGGCTCATGTGCAGCAGCAAGTGCGCCCCCTTCAACTCGAGCGTCACGTAGTCGCCCTGGAAGCCCTCAGCGTGCACCAGGAGCCCGTCCTTCTCTTCGGTCTTGAAGCTGAAGGCGATCACGTCCCACAGGCTTCGGCTGACCCCTCGCGGAAAGCGGTACGAGATGGCATCATCGCCGTCGAAATAGAGCACGTCGGACTCTGCGTGAACGACGGTAGGTGAGCCGGGGGGCCCGAGGAGGCCGTGTGTCTCCCCGGGCCCCCTCCTCCATGACCTCCGACCTCCGCGCACACTCACTGTAGGGGCAGCCGTAGAGGCCCAGCCTCAGGCCGATCTTGCCGCGCGGGTTCCAGGCCAAGGGCACGATGCGGATGTAGCGCGCGGTGAAGTGGTAGTGCAGGTCGTGGCGCACCACCGCCGATTCGTTCATGTTACCGAAGAAGGTCTGAGGGGGAAGGGGAGAGGAGTGACCGGATCCCCACCCGGACTTGTTTCCCAACAGCCTCCCAGCCCGCCGTTGTCACCACCAGCCAATCTCCACTTCCCAAAAAGCAAATACTCCTTGATCTCCCCTGCCTTCAGGACTTGATGCAAACACAGTTCCCCTAGCCTAGAATGTCCTCTCCCACTATCACATTATTTCCTCAAAGCTCAACTCGGGGGGTCACCTCCTCCAAGAAGCTCTCCCAGATTTTACCCTAAGGTTGTCAAACCCTGCCATCGGGGAGTGTCTTGCACACATGGTGAGCTTACAGTCCCTCTGGACGGAGTCTGGAACAGAAGTCACTGTTCCTCATCTGTGCCCTCACCATCACCTCCTCCCCTTCCCCACAAGTGAATGCCCAGCCCAGGTGGCAAAGCTGAAGAGGTTCCCCAAGTGCACATGCAGGAGGCCGGAGTACCGCATTGTGCCCTTGCTGGTAGAATGGCGTCCAGCTGTCCACTCGGTCTCCATAGAGCAGCATGTAACGAGTGACCCAGTCCCAAGAGTTAAAGGAGCCCTGTGTGGCCACAGCCCGAATCCGGTGCTTCTTCATTAAGTCGATCTGCAGCCAGGGATTCGGGTCCCCGATCCGGGGAGACCATCCGCTTATGCCTACGGAAGGGGCGAGGGCTTTCACCGCTGGCTCCCCCTTTGCCCGCGGCCCTCCAGATCCCCCCACTGCTCCATGGGGCCAGGCGCTCACCGTGCAGCCGGGCAAAGCGTGGCGCTGTGAAGAGCCCATAGTAGGAGGAGGCACCTAGGGAGCGGTAGTACAGGGGCCCGACCAGCTCTTCGTCACAGCCGTCTGGGTTGGGGGAACAGACACAGCGGTGGGGATGGCCCCTCCCAGCCCTTCCCAAAGGCCCTGCACACGGATCCACTAGAGCTCCTCCTCCTCCTCAGTTCCCCAGGGGCAGACCCAGCCCTAACTTAAGCCATCTAATCAACCCAGGCCGCAGCCACCGCTGCACACTCAGGGGAAGAACCTTCTTTGGGGGGAACCCTTAAGCCAGACCCTCTATAGTTCCGTTCCTGCTTTGATACCCAGGGGGCTCAGCATTCCCCAACACAGTCTGACACTGAGCGTCTTTCAGAACCGGAGGCAGCCTGACAGCAACCCGGCTGCATTCGGAGCAGCACTGCCACTCATTAGCATCCCCAACCTGCACCGATCCAGATCCAGGCCTTGGTCCCAACCCCAGCAGGTCCTGGCACCATCCTCAGCTCCATGTCCAGCCTTAGCAACCATCAGCCACCAACTCCTGCTTGGATCCCAGCCCCGAAGTCCAGCCCTCACCCTCCAAACCCTAGCCCCTGGGCCAGTGTCAAGCCGAACCCCAGCCCCTGGAAAAACCTTAACCCAGCCCCGGGTCACCAGTAACACCTTTATCCCCAACCCTCAAACCCAGACACCATCTCCGGCTTGGATTGTAGTGCCAAATCCCGGCCGGGGACGACTCTATCCCCGGCTCCGGCTCCGAGCCCAGCCCCAGCCCCGGGCGCACGCGCCAGCTTGGGAGCTGCATTGCGGAGCGCGGGGGAGAGGAAGGGAAAGATGAAAGAGAGAGAGCGAGCGAGCGAGCGAGAGCGCGCCGGCCGAGAAGGGACCCCGACCACCCAGCCGCAATGCGGTTCGGGACGCGCCCTGCAGGCTTTGAACTCCCGGGCCCGACCCTGCCGGCCTCCGAGCCCCGCACTCACAGTAGCCCCAGCCCTGAGCTCCTGAAACCGCGGCGAGCAGGATCCAGAAGAGCCGGAGACTCATCCTGCAGGGATGACGGGTCTCCGCGGCCGCCTCCCGGTGCCCGGCTGGGGCTAGGGCTCCAGTTCCAGCTCTGGCCCCCAGCTCTCCTGGGGTTCGCAGCGGGTCACTGTCTCTCCTCCTCACCCACCCTCTCTCTTTCCTTCTCCCCCAACCCTTCTCCCCCCGCCCCCCCTCCCTCAGTCGTTCCTGGTTCTCCGCTGTTCTCTCTGCTCTCCTTTCCACCCTCTGTCCTCTCACCTCCCCCCTCCCCAGCCTCTCTTTCCTAGCACGCGCCGCTTTCCCAGACCCCGCGCAAGCGCGCGCCTCAGCTTTGCTTCGAAAGGGCGGGGGTGGAGAGCCTCCAGCCACCGGGAAATACCCTGAATAACCGCGGCTGGCAAGGACTGTGGTCGTAGGGGTGGGGGAAGGGAGGTCGTGAAAAATCCGAGGTGTGGCTGTGGGGGGCGAGGGTTGCCGGTGGATGGGGAGAAGAATAAGTAAAAGATTCTGACCTCTTCCAAAGGCAAATTACGGGTATGTTCCAAGCACCCTTGCTAGGCACCCTCATAACCCTGTGAATTCAGCATTTTTACCTTTTACTCCACTTTGCAGATGAAAATCCGGAGGCTCAGAGAAGTAAAAAAACAAACAAAAAAAGCAAAAAACTTACCACCACACAGGTAGCTAGCAAACGAGGATATTCCAAAAAGCCATTCTTTTTCTACTGAGATACATTGCTTTTTAGGGGGGTGGAGTGGTTAAACTAGGTAGAGAGGGCCCACAGACCCTAGTACCCACCACCCTCTTGGCCCCTCTCCCCGCCCCTTCCTTCCTGTCCCACTAGTTTAACTTCTCTCCCCAGTGGCTGTACCTCAGAAACCTGCGTAGCCAGAGATGGGGACTGAGCCCGCAGAACAGGTGGGACTGGGGGCAGGGAGGGGAGGACTGCGGAGAGGGAGGGAAACGGAAAGGGATGGGGACCCCACACCGGACAACAGGCCTCTGCGGGGTTATGATCTATCCAGGACTCCTGGAGCCATTTGGGGTTAGGAGCCCTCCAGAAAAAGCGGGGCTGGTGAATGCGAGGGTGGGGTTGGAGGTTCGGGCTGGAGCTGAAGGGAAGGGTGAGCGGAAAGTAGAGGTCTCAGGTGCTAACGGAAAACCTGAGCCCCAACTCTTGAGACCCGCTGGTCATGAGTACTTCAGTGCACCTGTGCTGGGGGTAGACGTGGCAGGCCTGGAGGTCCTGAGGCAAAGCCTGCACGTGGACGTTTTTCCAGGAGAGGGCGCTGCAAGCAGAACAGAAGCTCCAAGATTTATTAGCAATAGAAACCCTTGGCCTATGAAGAGCACAGATGCTTCGCATCCATTATCTTCCTATTTCAAACAATCCTTTCTTTTTTTAAAAAAAAATATTTTATTTATTTATTTTTAGAAAGGGAAGGGAGGGGGGAGAGAGAGAGAGAAACATCAATGTGCAGTTGCTGGGGGCCGTGGCCTGCAACCCAGGCATGTACCCTGACTGGGAATCAAACCTGCGACACTTTGGTTCGCAGCCCGTGCTCAATCCACTGAGCTATGCCAGCCAGGGCTAAACAATCCTTTTTTCAAACAGCCCTGCCGGGTGGGCTGGTCAGGATTTCTAACCTCTACATTACGTACGTATTGGGCAACTGAAATCCAGAAAGAGCAAGTAGTTTCCTCAAGGTCACCCAGGAAGCCGGATGCAGAGGCAGGAGGGGTGCAAGGGAAGCCAAGGCCTGTTGAGGGTGTGCTGGGGAGTTTGGAAGAGTTTGTGCCTTCTCCCCGCTTAGAAGGGGTGATGGGATGGGGAGGTGAGTGGGGAAAAACGGATTCAAAAAGTCTCTCTTCTCATTTTGCCCTCCCCAGATCTTCTCGGGCCCCTATTCTGGGTACAGTGAGGAGGCATACTCGCCTGGGCCGTTTCCAGAGGTTTGCCACAAGGCGGATGTCCAGGCCTTCAGTCGCACGTTCCAATCCAGTGTCTCCCTGACGGTGGCTGCCCTGGGTCTGGCGGGCAATGGCCTGGTCCTAGCCACCCACCTAGCCGCCCGGCGTGCTTCCCGCTCACCGACCTCCGCCCACCTGCTCCAGCTGGCCCTGGCCGACTTTCTTCTGGTCCTGACCCTTCCCTTTGCTGCAGCTGGGGTTCTGCAGGGCTGGAGTCTGGGAAGTGCCACCTGCCGTGCCATCTCAGGCCTCTACTCAGCCTCCTTCCACGCAGGCTTCCTCTTCCTGGCCTGTATTAGCGCTGACCGCTATGTGGCCATTACGCGAGCCCTCCCAGCTGGACCGAGGCCCTCCGGGCCGGGCAGAGCACACTTGGTCTCAGCCATCGTGTGGCTGCTGTCGCTGCTCCTGGCACTGCCTGCTCTCCTTTTCAGCCAGGACGGGCAGCGGGAAGGCCAACGGCGCTGCCGTCTCATCTTCCCCGAAGGCCTCACTCAGACGGTGAAAGGGGCGAGTGCGGTGGCACAGGTGGTCGTGGGCTTCGCGCTGCCGCTGGGCGTCATGGCGGCCTGCTATGCGCTCCTGGGCCGCACGCTGCTGGCCGCCAGGGGGCCGGAGCGCCGGCGCGCGCTGCTCGTCGTGGTGGCCCTGGTGGTGGCCTTCGTGCTGCTGCAGCTTCCTTACAGTCTCGCCCTGCTATTGGATACAGTCGACCTACTGGCCGCGCGCGAGCGGAGCTGCCCTGCCAGTAAGCGCAAGGATCTGACACTGCTGGTGACCGGGGGCTTGGCTCTCGCCCGCTGCAGCCTCAACCCCGTGCTCTACGCTTTTCTGGGCCTGCGCTTCCGCCAGGACCTGCGGAGGCTGCTCCGGGTTGGGAGCTGCAGCTCAGTGCCTCTTCCCCGCGGCTGCTGCCCCCGTCGGCCCCGCCTTTCTTCCTGCTCGGCTCCCACTGAGACCCACAGTGTTTCCTTGTGGGACAACTAAGGCTGCGAATCAAGTGGAGGGTGCAAGCTGAGGAAATGAATCTGGGAAGGCAATGGGAAGGGGGAGTAGGTGGGGGTACGCTGAAAAAAAGGTAGGGACCTACACGAATTGCTTATGTACTTTGCCACATTAAATTGATAACATGGAAATGAGATACAGCCCAACAACTGTTACTATTTTTGAGCCACTGGCTTGGAAGTGATTTGTAGCAGGGCAGAGCCGTGGGCTCCCCCTCCACCCCCGCCCCCACCTCCACCTCCAGAGCGCTGGGCTCTGAGTGGAAGGTGATGAGAGCCTGAGTGGGGGTGGGGGACTGCTAAAGCTTCAGGCACTGACCCCCCCTCCGCCCCCCACGTTCACCACTCTCCGCCGACAGAGGTGAGGTGGGAAAGCTGCCAGGCGAGGAGGGGCGGGGGTTCCTCTTGAAATAGCTAAGGAAGAGCTTTCGAACAACCAGAGTGCTATCCAGTAATGGCTGCCTTAGTAAGTACCGCGTTTGCCGCCCCTGGAATGTTCAGGCTGAGTCTGTCGGGGACCGTGTGTGTCTGTGTGCGGTGCGGGGACGGGGACGAGGCGGGAGATTTCCGATTGGGGTGGGCTTTTGGGTTAGATTACGGTTTTATAGTTTCTTCTAAGGTTCTGTGGTGGGAAAGAAAAAAGAAATAAAAAGTTGAGTCGGAGTTTTTTCACCTTGGAGAAAAACCAAGGACAGATTTCCAATGTGCAAATTTCCAAAGAGTCATTATCAAGGGCGTGGTGGGGGTGGAGGTGACTGCTGCTCGCAGTCCTCCCAGGGAAGGGGTCAGAGGAAACGCACCGAGCCTGCCGGAAAGAGAGAGGTTAGACTTCGGAAAGAACTTCCCTGCGACAAGGGCCTGGGACCCAGACAGGCTAGAGAGTGCATGGGGGTGGTGTCTCCACGCCCAGGAAACCTTGGTGCGGGGCACTCTCCTCTGGGGCCAGGGCCAGGGCAGGACGGTCTGTAGAGACGGTCGCATTGATTCCTGGTCTTTGTTTTACACAATCACGACAGGCAGGATGGTGTCCACGTGCGACAACTCTCGCAGTTTAATATCCGGTCAGCAAAGCTGTCGGACCACTCCAGCCAGCAGTCTGGGGACCTGGGGCAAGAAGGGCGTGGCGTGGCGGGGAGGTCTCCAGGGAGGCGCTGGCCTGACGTCCCCGCCCTGTCCTGCCCAGCCCGGCTCGGACAAGCCTTCCGTCACAGAGCCTTTGGCGGCTGAGATGGAAGCGCGGCATCTAGGGGCCGTGAACTTCGGAATCGGAATGCGCGGAGACGGCACCGATCCTCGAAATGCCCCACGCACCGACCACTGGGGGTCAACCTGGAACCCTCCACCGGCCGACCGAGGAAATCGTCGCTGAGTCAGCAACGCACGCGCGCGCCCGCTGTCGCCCGGGTCCCCCCACCCCCGCCCCGCCCGCGGCCCCGCCCCGGGTTAACCCCTTTCTACACAGACCCGCAGGAGGTCCTCCCGGAGAGGCCTCCTCTCTATCCGCAGACAGCAGAATTCCCTAGAACCCCAAGCCACTCTCCCTACTGGAGTTCAGTGAGCTATGCGCTCAAAATTACATTTCTTCACTTCAAAAAGGAGGTGACTCATGCTGAGGGCCTGGACTTCATCCAGGGGCGGAGAGCCACCCCCAGGGCTGTGCCTGGCGCAGGTAGTCTCAGGGACCCTGAAACCTTACGCAGGGATTCAGAGGACAGCAATCGGGGCCTGCCCCTATGCCCTATGCCCTTCGTCCTCCAAAGCTTCTTCTCAAAAGGTTTTTAATCTACAGATTGGTGCGCCAAGAGTTAAAACGAGAGCTTGAAGGCGGGCTTCCGTGACGTCATTAGCACTCCGCGTCCGACCTCAGAGACGGGGGCGTGACTAACAGCGCACCGCTCCCTCCCTCCCGATTCCCTTGCTCCTCCCCGCTGTCACCAAGCCAGTGGCACATGATGCCCCCCCGCCGCCGTTTCAGTAGCTTGATTGGTGGCCGCGCTCGGCGCCAGGCACAGGGATTGGGCAGAGGAGGCTGTGACGAAAATTGGACCCTGCCCAAAAGAAGGGAGGGGAGGAAAGAAGGGAGGGGCCAGAGGGGAGGGGATTTGGGAGGCGGGGTCCCGGCGCGGTGCTCGCGCCCCTAGCGCGCCAGTCCCGGGGCTGCAGGGAGCGCAGAGCGCGCGGCCCGGGCCCCGGCCACCGGACGTTCTACCGGACACGACCCTCCCTGAAGCTTGGACAGCTGCCCACCTTGGACACTGCTCTGGACACTGCCCTACACAGGGCTGGACACTACAACGGACACTACTTCCCAGCTCCGGACATTGCTCCCTCCTCCCCCCTGGGCCCTGGACGATTTTCCCCCTCCCCCTTCGGGGGCCCAGACACTGAGCCCCCGCAGGCTCTAGCTACCAACCCCTGCACCCCGGCTGCAGACACTGCCTCCTCCCAGTCGCCTTCTCCCTTCCCTTCCACCCGCCCCGTCTTTCCCCCGACTGAGTCGGAGCTTCGCCAGCTTCTCCGACCCCCTGCAGCTTGGCCCCGGCTGCCCAAGCCCCCATCCCCCGGCTGCTCGTCCGGATGCCTCTCCCCGGGGGATTGTGGTGGCTCCTTTGCTGCCGTCGAGGCTTTACTCTTCTGCACCGGGACTACGGGGACGGCGAACTTAGCGGGGACGGGGACGAGGACGAGGACGAGGAGACCTTTGAGCTACGGACCCCGAGTCCAGCGGGCGGCGGGAGGGTAAGTCCCGGGGGTGCGGAGCCTCGTCTCAGTCCCTCTCACTCACTGCCACCGGCCGTCACGCCTGATCCCGCTCCAGGCTCCAGCCCAGGGCCGTGCTCTTGGCGGGCCGGGGACGTGGGAGAGGTTTTCGCCCGGGGCCAGAAGCCCCTGGGAGCTCAAGGAGCAGCCCCACTTGGACGTGCCTGTGGGCCTCGCGCCGCACGCGGGGCGCTGTCCACCTGCTGGGGGCCTGGAGGCAGGGAGGCGTCACGCGTGGCCCGACCTGGCCCTGCCTCACCCTTCCCCGCCGGGCCCGCGTCCCATCCCATCTCCTTCCGCCTCCGCCAGAGCCGAGGAATGTGGTGAGGCCGGCTGGGCGGCTCGGACGCCTGGGTCCGCTCCATTCCCAGGTCGTGAGCGCTGAGCGCTGGGGCCAGATGCGGGAGTTCCCGCGCCGGGGACCTGGGCAAGGGGAAGAAGGCTTCCTCACATGGGGGTCCGTGGCGGGGACCCCATGGAGAGGGCATTGGGAGCCACAACCCTTGGAGGACTCCTCGTCGTTACCCTCAGGACAGAGCGCTCGGCCCTCCCTGGTGAGCCGCCTGGGGAATCCCGGAGGGGATGATGAGGGACACTGTCTCCCCAGTTCTGTCGAATTTCCTCGTGGGGAAACTGAGGTGCCATTGGCGTGGGAGACCTCCATCCCCCGACGTCCCCTCTCTGATTCAGGGGCAGACCGGGAAGCCAGATTCCCCAGGTTTGTGACCCGGGTCAGGCTCCCATCCCCCGCTCAGGGGTCCCCAGCAGGCCTGGTGGCTCCGTGCCCGGGTAGGGCGGGCTGTGCCGCCGCGGCCGGCGCCAGCACCTGGCGGAGGCGGAGGGCGGATAAATATAGAGGGGGGGGGGGCAGGGAGGGAAGCAGGGGACTGCGATTAGGGGAGTTGGTCGAAGAGTGGTCAGCACCTGCCCTCCACGGTGGTGGGCCAGGAACCCCTTTCAGATCCTCTAGAAAATAGGTGGGTCTTTGCCTTAGGAATGCACAGGACGCAGGCAACCTCCGGCTCCCAGGCTGGGCAGGGTCGGCTCTGTGAACCCGGCCATTGCCTCCCTCGTGCTCCACCTCCACCCCCCTCCCGGGAGCTTGGGGACAGGTGTCCCTGGCCCCCCTTCCCCCACCTCCCCCTGCTGGCTTCAGCAGTCTGCCCGAAATGGGACGATGGCACAGTTCCTGCCTGACCTGGCTTCTGGACGGGGTTGGTGGCCTTTCTCAGACCCCAGTCTACAGCTGAAGTTCCAGGGCGAAGGGGGAGGGGCACAATCCCCTACAGCATCTCCCCAGTGAGAGTGTGCGCCATTCCCCCCAGGGCCAGCCCTTCCTGAGCCCCAGCGAAGGGGCAGGGTCTCTGCTGACAATGAGTCTCAGGGGTGTCTGTGGGGGAGGGGTGCAAAAGAAGCTCTTGGAAAAAGCCCTATACCAAAGGGATCCCTCTCCCTTTCATTCATGTCTGTGCCCACCTCCTGCCTGCCCGCCCATCGGGCGAAGAAGGGAAAATGAGGGGGTGGGGGGTTACTTTGAACCTGCCAGAACTCGAAGGGACTTCACCCACCTCTCCCTTTTCAGAGGTCAGGACGCTAAGGCCCAAAGACTGGAGAGGACTTACAAAGTTCCTCTTCTCCTTCCCTGGGGAGTTAGTGCTGGAGCTGGCACTAGAACCCGGGCCTCCTGACTCCCTGCCCAGTGCTCTTTCCACCCTCCCAAACCCCTCACTGCATCTTCGCACGGTGACCAAAGGTAACAGAGACCAGGCTCCTTAGCGCTGGCATTTCCGTAGAGACTGATGGGAGGGGCCAGTCCGGGGTTGCAGCGTACTCCGCCACCGCCGCCACCCCACTACTTGATTCCTCAGTCCCCTGAGCAGCGCTGGCCTGGGGGCAGACGCCTCGAGGAGGGCTGTCTGACCCTGAACCTGTTTCCCCAGGGCCCACTGGACGTGACGCTGACTCAACCCGTGAGGAGTGGGCCCATCTCAGACAGGTGAGCTCTTCCTCCGAGACCCATGGTCTGGAGACCCTAGCCCGCCCCGGGACCCCCATCCTTGCCGCCTTCCCTCTTGCGATTGTGCAATAAGGGAGAGTCCTTACGCCGGACGCTGTGGTTTGGCTAGGGTCCCGAGGGGGCGGTCCGGCTGGGGGCGCCAGGAGGAAGAGGGGGGGTCCGGGCTATTTTTGGTGCGAGGTCAGACCGGCCCAGCGGTTCCCACAGCCTGGGGGAAGGGTGCCTAGCCCGGGAGCAGGCACCCCTCGCAGTCTGCGGAACCCCTATTGAGGAGCCCCCTGGAGGCGGGGTGCAGGACCCGCAGTCTCACCCAACACTTCCCTGTGGCCCAGGCTGCAGAGCTGGGAGGAGACCCGGAGCCT